TATCGGAAATATAAAGTGAAAAGGATTTGTAAACAAACTAAATAGAGATTTGACTGAAAATAGGTTTTTTTTTCAGATTGATTGAAATCTGAGCTTCAATTGTATTTGAAATTACTATATTAGTCTTTTAGAGAGAAATAATAAATATCTCAAATACGATTGGTACTATAATCAGTTGTCCATTATCAAGTCAATAATATATCTCTTCCAATCAAGTATTTCGATCATCAATATCTTTTTATCTCAAATAACTGATTTTGGATTGTTGAAAACTGTCTTTGATTAAAAATATATTTTTTGATAAGGAAATAATAAAAGAATACTCGAAAGGCTATTCAAAATATCAATTAAAACAATCGATTTTAACTCGAATCTCTGCCAACCATTTGTGATTTAGGATTACACTATATAAATCCAAATCGATAATAAGAAATAGCAAATAAGATTGTTGTCAAGCATTAATCGTAAAATTAAGAAATGTGAAATGAGTAATAGCTTTACCTTATACACCATTATAGCTTTTGACTTTAATCAATGGTTCGAGTAGTATAAAGCAAGATTTGAATATAAGGAATAATAATGAAAGGAGTATCTTATCGATAAAAGCAAAGTTATTTGCTCCAAAATCTATAAAAGATTGAGTATTGTATAAATATCCGTTTTTCGAAAGTATGTATAATAGATTTATAGAATTACCTCCCATTAATTTTATCAAATCAAAAAATCTTATATCCCGGATTGCGTTTAGAAGGGAACTTCTACCTAAACATATTGATTTAAACATTAATCTTCAATAATGCAAGCAAACTCAACAACTTCCACTTACACTTTTTGGTTTACATCCTCCTCAGTATTCTCTTCTACATCATAAAACTCTTCATCTTCTCCAATCTCTTAGATCTCGGTTATAGCACTTACATTACCTGTGCATAACATGAAACTGCGATTCATTTCCAATACAGGAATAATAGTACTACAATTGAAATTGTTTTCTGGAAATAAAGTGTTGTTTAACTTGAAGGTTCCTATATAGCCAATAGGAGTACAAAAAGGATATTGAATGTAAAACTAAATAGATAAATTCGAATTACCCAATAAGTAAAGAATGCTTCTAAAGGTAGTCGACAAATCGGTATTACTAAATAGCTTTCTAAAAGATATCTCTTTAATCATTCTATAACAATTGTATTCTCAAAACATAACTTCGAGTTCATCAATCTCAATAAACTTGATAATCAGATTCTTAACAATATAATATTCGTTAATATAAAGGCCAATAGCTTGTTAAAAAAAATCGAATATTTTTCTTTCCAAATTGCAAAGAAGAGTTATCGGATTAATGATTTCTGCCTGTATAGCTAATAATCTAAATCTGTAATATTATACTAGAAAATTTCCTTATTGAGTATTATTAGATATAACCCAATATTTATACTTAGTTTGTATATAATCAGCTTTAGCCAGATTCTTATAAATAACTGCAAGCTGATCAATCAATTACTATTCTGTTAAGCAAGGGACTTGAATATACAGCGAAAACATATATTCTTGTACCTCTCCTTCCATCTGATTTATTACATAAAATCACTGTTGCACTTCCAAGATAAACGAATTTTCATAAAGTTCAAGTTGCTCAATAATTAATAACTACCAAAGACTTACTTTCAACTCCACACCATCTTTGAGTTTAAATAAAAGATTAATGGGCTTCGGAATGTATAAATACTCTACTACAATAGTAAATAAACAAAAGTAGAGTATTCAATGAATTTGTAGATTACTCGACAGAGCGACCGGGTTTGAAAGGGGTTTGTTATCAATACTCGAAAAGGATTATTGTGAAGACTAACTTCGCAAACAGGGATTTTTCTTATTCTTCCTTTTCCTGATAGTAGGAGATACCCTTTCAATAAAATCGATTGGAATATTAGGAATCCGGATTTTGCAATTTGTAAGGGAATCTGCATAATATTGTTATCAATATCTTGGAGGTTGAAATGAGTAAGTGGTATTAAGATTATACTATAATAATTCGTTTTTGAATCTTACAATTTCATTTCACAAATCTTTAAAGTCTTTAAGGATTGGTATTTGTTCTTTCTGTAATGGAAGAGTGTGTATTGACATACTACCCTTGAGAATTAATACCTTAATCAAGGAGTCGTTTCCAAACTGTTTACCCTTTCCATATCTACTAGTATTTATATTAGAATTGTAAGAACTATAACCATCGCTTTGTTGAAATTGACTATCGTCGGCTAGAGGCGTTCGGCTAGCGAAAGGGAGAGAGCGATGGAGTCCCTTTGAGGTAAATAGGTTGGATATAATAATAGTACTTGTAATTCTATATATTGGGGGTTTGTTGTCTTCCGTTGAGTAGATTTATTTGGAATCAGCCCTCTTTCTATAAGTAATATTGAATATTTTTGATATATCTAAGAAGATATTATAGTTATAAGGTATTATTTGATTGGTCACTAGATGATCATGTGATTATATAATGAGTTATAGATAATGTAACATTTTGTTTTAGAAGAACTACAAGAGCAGGGTACAATTTATTCTTAGAATCTACAATTATAGAATCGGGAGCAAAGCGCTTGTAGAGCACTCCTATATACTAGCTATGTATATGTGATCGTGCACGTGCGCAAACGCGTATGTGAGCGATCGCAGCTGCGATTGGGTGCGATCCGTGATATTATTGGCCAGCCTCATCTTAAACAGGAGCATCTAATGGATTTTATATAAATTGAGATTATAATTGTTAGAATAGAAAAAGATGTTTGTTATTAGCATACTGCTTAGTATTATATATATGATTTCCAATATTCCCCCTTAAGTAGTATGTCCTATAGCTCTTTCTTGGAGTTAGCTTTTATGCCTTTATGTGGAGCTAATTGGTTTTAGTTTTGGTTGTATATAAGTGGGTGTGTGGATTTTTTTCTATTTAATTGTAAGTTGTTGGATGTGGGTTCTTGTTTTATGATCTCATAATGTACACTTTATTATTGCGCTATCCGGGCTTATAACCTGTTAGAATAGAAAAAGATGTTTGTTACTAGCATACTGCTTAGTATCATATATATTATTTCCAACAACAATAATTGAATTAATTGAAATTGAGTATTTAATTGATTTTCTATAATAATCTTAAGAAAACACTTTATAGCCAAATCTTATTTAAATATTTATTGAATAATAAAAAGTAAATCGAATATATAATTAATAATATTATATAGATAATTAAGATAATCCTATTAATCTTATATTAATATCAATAAAGAAAGGGGGTTATAAAGTTTATAATCCTAAAGGCTAAATAGTTTTTTTATAATTTACTATCATTAATTAAAAATATTATTGATTTCAGCTTTAAGTATCTTAAGCAAAATAGATAATAATAAACTAATATTTGAAATACTCAATATATTAATTATAATAAAAAAAGAGAATAAAATGAAAACAAAAATAAAGATAAAAACAAAAATGAAGACAAAGATAAAAGCAAAAACGAAAAGATATAAAAAGTATAAAAGGTATAAAAGATTGTAAAAACTATAGAAAAACCTGTCTTAAATAGATAGAAACAGAAATAAAGAATTTCTTTTAGAGTTGGATTATTCTTATTGCAATGAGATTCTTTTATAAAGTAGAATATATTATTATAATACAGGAGATATATCACGCTAAAAGTGATATCACTGATAGCATTAAGCTAATTGGGTTTATATAGGCTAATTCTATTGTAATACATTCTCGAGATTGCTGATTAGCTGGGTATAGGCAGTAATCTCTGTACTAGTTTTATTGAATTATAAATGTGCAAATCTCTTTCTATCTCTATATAATACCAAATCTAGATTCTCTTTTGATTGGATATAATTAATATTAGGTTCTCTCTGGATACATCTAATAGGCTGAGTGAAAATAATGAGGCAACAAAGTAGGGTTCTTACATTAGTTTTAATAGGCCAAGATCAGATGATTAATGTGGGTTTGTTGAAATACCCTTTTATAAGTGGGCCTACGAAAAACCACTACAAGAGAGTACGGTAAAGTGAAGAATTATGCTACTGTGCTATAAACGTATACTGGGCTTATAATTATCATGCTAAAAGTGATATCACTGATAGCATTAAGCTAATTGGGTTTATATAGGCTAATTCTATCGTAACAAGATAGGTATTAGATAAGATGTATAATATTCTATAAGGAGTGAAGAAGGAGGCGGAGAGGCGCCGACTATATGGAGGGCGGATGCCTAAGGCATCCACATAGCTACGTATTGAACCCGTGACAGTCGCCTAATTAGGTGTATAGGGTACACAAATGAACTGAGTGAAATAGTTTTAGTAATCATGGGAATGAGTACTCCGGAGGAGTACTAGGATTAATACCGTAGGGTTATACTATACGGTGAATTCCGTGACAGATATATAAATAAATTTTAATATAAATTTTTAGTAATACAATTTTAGATTCTTGTAAAATCTTTTAATTTGATAAAAATCTAGAATAAAATTTCAGGATTTAAAATTATTACAAAAAATAATACTTATTTAAGAATCAAAATTCTTTATAAAATTTATCAATAAATATAATTCTAAAATCAATATTTTTGTGATTCAAATAATAATAAATCAAATTTCTATATACGTCTTTGATTCTAAAGTTCATAATGAATATTTAAATTATTATATATTTATAAAAATATAGAATAAAATATAGTTTTAATGAGGAAATTCGTTTAAATCTCAGCCCGGCATTCATTAGAAATAGGTCCTCGTATAAATAATCGAATTTTGTTACTATTTGTTTCTAAAAGACGTCATACCGCGTAAGAGTCTCGATATTATTAGTTCTTTAAGGTGCCTAAGTAAGGGTGTGTGATTATTAGCGCTTAATAATTATCATGTGAGCTAAATGATAATCTTGGTCTTGTTTCCTACTTTTACATTGTCAAAAGATATTATCGTACATCAATGGACGCGATTCATCAAAGCGAGACATCAAAATCTCACCCTCTTTTAGAATTATATACCGAATCCATTTATCATTCTATGGAGAAAGCTCTATACGCTCTCGAATAAAGATGTTTTTGAAGGAGTTTTGACTCAAGCCAATTTGGTGTTCCGATGTTTTTCGTCCTGATAAGGCGCGACCGATTTGGTTAACAACTACAATGGGGAGGATAATCTGCTATTGAGAAATGACATGGGGCTGTGGATTTGAGAGGGAGTCACATGCAGAATTGGCTGAATCACAGGTTTTGAGGCTGCATAGGACCAATGAGCTAACATATATCTACTAGGTCTGCATGTACCCCGCTTGCCCAAAGATTGTGTTGACCATCCGTCAGCACTCTGAATTAACATCATTCAAAACAACCAACTTCAAGATCCGCCGAAGTAGCTCAATGGCGTGCATGAATTTTGGCCATCCAAATTAGCTTCCAACCTCGAAAAGCAGCTTCATCATGGATTCCAAACGCCGATTTTTCAAGGGCCTGTGGAGAGGAACAGGAAAAAAACAAACCAATGATTCGATTGGCAATGGCGAGCCTGCTCCAAAGATAGTATGCAGTTTTCTATCAACACTATCTTGCTGTACTAATTTGATCTTCAGGAAACCCCCAAACGAACCATCGCTAGGTTGATATCCACAACACTAGATAGTACACCACAACCTCTGTATCGTTTTTCTCCACGATCCACAACACCCACTTCAATCAGCCAGACGCAGATCTCAAAATCTGGAGAAACACTTTGGAGTCGGGCGTACACGTCCTTATTGAAGAATAGTCCTGATCTGATGGAAACATACGAAGCATTGCTTCTCGATACCAATCTTACTACTTTAGACAAACAAGAGCAAATAGCGACCATGGTTCAAAAGAAACTGGAAATTCTGGAATCAAAGCAATGGACCATCAAGATCTCCGGAAAGTCACTCAAAGTCAAGGATCGGGTGAAAAGAATTATGGAAGCTTTTAAGAAGGTCAAAGAATTCGGGGCAGCTCTTGCGAGTATTGATCCAATACATGCCGGTTTGCCTTGGGCTGGTGTATCCTTTTTACTTAGTGTAAGCCAGCAGTTTATCAACATTTACGACAGCAAATGTCATCTTCGGCGCTGCATTCTAAGTTTGCAGCATGCAGTGACCTGAGCTTTCAGGTGTTCATGTTATAAATACGGACATATTTAGACCATTTCAGATATTCATAAGAAGCGAAGTTGCATCTTTCTTACATACTAGCCAAGAAGAGTTTTCTTTCTGTTTAGTTCAATTGTTTGATTGGTCACTGACGATGGAATTAAGCTTGTTTCAAATGATTTCGAACAAAATGAAGCACTTCTCGAGGGATTAGAAAAACTGTCAGATATCATAGCTCGATACACCGAAGTAGAGAGTGTTTATCTGAATACTGCCGTCGCAGGAGATGTCGATATACAGCTTGAGTTGAGGGTCATCAAGCTGTATGCTTGTATTCTCAAGTTTCAGGCGACAGCAGCATGCTACCTTTCTTATTCTACGCTTAAAAGGCTAATGCGCAATTTACCCAAGTTGGATGATTGTGAGTTCAATACATTTTTTTTATTTTTATGTTTATGAGTCCTTTGGAGATCTAGCAAAGTCGTTACGGTCGTGTGTTTACATTTCAGACTAGATTAAATCTGCTAACTGCTTTAATCATCAGGGAGCAAACTTCTCACCGAAGTCACTTCGGAAGACGAAAATTGCTACAGATGGGTCAGTCTCCAGGATTCGAGAGTATTAAGAAAGTTATATGAGCATATAAATCCTCTCGTCTCCATTCAACCCTTAACAATACTTCCCTCTTACTTCGAGGTTCCTACAGGTCGCAAGATCCCTCATTTCATAGGCCGAGGAGAGGTGCTAGCAAGGATTGATTCTGCGCATTCGAGAAGCTCTTCTTCAAAGGCAGGGATCGTGGTTTTGCGCGGCCTAGGAGGACAAGGTAAGACACAAATCGCGCTTGAATACTGCCATATCTCGAGAAACAAGTTCAAGGCCGTGTTTTGGGTCGATATGAGCTCTGAGAGTTCGGCTATCCGGAGTTTTGAAACAATCTATTCTAAGATCAAGGGGCCTGGAAACGACTGTGGTAGTGGTGACACGAAACTAGAAGTCGTCAAAAATACCATTCGTACGTGGAATTTCAAGTGGCTGATTACTTTTGACAATTACGATACGCCTGATAAATTTTCTCTTGAAGACTACATACCACACAGTGTCTATGGATCAGTTTTGGTGACTACAAGGCACAAGGATGTTGACGCCTTAGTGGAAGACACCGCCGCAGCCATTGAGCTGTTGGGTCTGCCCGACAAAGAAGCTCTGCAGCTCTTGTATAAACAGAGCGGCGTAGAAGAAAATGAAGTCAACAAAATGAATGGGTTGAATATTGTGGAGAGGCTTGGATATCATGCGCTCGCTGTTACTCAAGCTGCGACATATATCAAAAGTTTGAAGCTTAACTTTTCAAGCTTTGAATCTCATTATTCTCGACGTCGGGAAGCGATTTTGAAGTACAAGATTCCTATGAACAAGTACACGAAGCTTTTAAGCGATTTTGAGAAAGAAGCGGCCTTCAATGTGTTTACCACCTGGGAGCTGTCCTTTGACGAACTCAAAGCTCAACACAATTCGGCAGATCTCGAGCAACTCCTTACAATTCTTGCATTCTTCGATCCTCGTGATATCTCCGAGGAGCTTTTCTCTTCATATATGAGTCAAGAATTTTGGTGGAGTTATAAATATCCAGGTTTTGCCTTCAGCCAGAGAGAAGCGGGTGTATGGGATAGAGATGCATTTGCCGATGCATTGCAGATTTTAGAGAGCCTGTCTCTCATACAAAGCTTTTATGCTTCTACCAATGGCGAATACCATATATCTCTTCATCCTCTGGTCAAGGATTGGATTCGGCTTCGAACCAAAGAATCACTCTGTGAGGAGTACACTGTCTTGGTAGCTGAAATGATTGCCGGTCAGGCAGTGACAAATTTCCTGGATATGGATCTCGTTCACATCAGTGCACATGAAGAGAACATCGTATATATTACTACACCAAATGTCGTCGAAAGCTCCTATGATGAGTCCTCGAATAAGCGATCTATGTATGAAATTTTTTACTTGAGTGAATGTATAATGTGCTCAAATCTTAAGTTGATGGATTATTCTGAGAAAGCAAAAGTCATAGGTGGACGCTTGTTTGAGCGACAAAAGAAATTCCACTGGGAAGACACTTGGCAGAGTTCGTTCAATGTCAAGGAGAAAATACAAGGTATTTTGAGCAAGCTAGGCATGACAGAAGAAGCATTGTCAATCAGTACACAGCTTTACACACTACACTCTAGAATGTATGGAGAAGAACATAGGAAAACTATTCATAGTATAGAGTTACTTAGTCGAAGACTCAAAGAATTTGGCGAGCTTGTAAGTTACTGCTTTTTATGTTAATCTTTAGCAAGATGCGGCGTATGTGGCAGCAGCGCTAGAGTTAGATTCTCAAATCCTATGCTTCAATTTTCTCAAGGTATCAGAATATTTTTTTCTCTAAATCAAGATGAAAACCGGCTGAATATACCTAATCATAGGAAAGAGCCTTGAGGCTACAGCGTAAGGTTCTTGAGTACAACAAAGAGAATAGAAGCGATGATGATCCCATAGTCGTAAAATCTCTATTTGAAGTAGTGGAAACACTCATGGAACTCGGCATCACTGATGAAGCAGAACAGCTGTATAGGAAGGTGATTGACCTGCAGGTGAAACTCTCAGGAGAAGCCCATGCTGCGACCTTGAACAGCAAGATAAAGTTAGCAGAACTTCTGGAAAAAACGACCCAGACGGAAGAAGCAAATAGGCTATGCACAGAAATCTTAAGCCTCATGAATAGCTGGGCTATTCTCAGCAGCGACGCCTTCAGTTTAATGTTCGACCTGAGATCCATACTTCGAAATCTCTATAGATGGGAAGATAGTCTGGCTTTAAGTCAACATGCATTGAAGCTGGTAGAGCAATACCATAGCAGGGAAACTTTAAGCCTCATTTTTGCAACGAAAGCGGTTGCCTATGCTTTTCAGGACTTGAATAGATTCGATGAGGCTGAACAAGTTTTCAAAAGACTTTGGCTGCTGTGTACAGGGAATCTGAAGGGTTATCAATCGCTTTTTCTAGAATCACAGATAGGTTATGCCAAGATGTTGAGGTATCTTGGGAAAAGGGAGAAAGCAAAGGAACTGGGCAGGGATGCATTGCAAAGGTTGAAAAAATCGCGTGGGGAGGAAAGCATAGAGGTTCGGAAGTTGAACGAGGCCCCGAAATTCAGCTGGCTACGCCAAACTAGTAAAATCTTACAAGACTTGGATGCTTATTATGAGCAGGCTCTTGGGGGCCGTGATGATGTTACGGATGAGGAGAGGTATGCGGCGTGGAGAGCCTGGAAGGTGAAGGTGGGTGAAGAAGTAGTAAATAGATTGAATATGGAGATTAATAAGACTAGTGAGGGGTAGGATTATGGGTCAGAATCGGAAGAGGAAGATGGAGACGAAGAGGAGAGGTATACGGCGTGAAAAGCCTGGAGGGTGAAGCGTCGGGTGAGGAGATGGTGAGAAGAGTTCATATAAGAAATGCTGGGATTAGTGAGGGGTCAGGACACGGATCGGAATCGAAATTGGTGGAGCAAAGATGAGATAGGGTACGTGCTAGGCAAGATTTGTGATGTTCTCCAAAGAGAATAGAAGGAGGCGAAGGGACACCGACTATAAAGGATGTGGATGCCTAAGGCATCTATGTAAGTACGCTACGAATTCATTACAACTATTATAGTATAATTTGAGCCAACCTAATCACTCGTTGCATACTAAAATAATTGATTTATTTGCTTGGCGTGGCCCTGCGTTGCATTACATTATCCCACCTTGTCGCTCATCGCTTTTCTGGCAATCGCTAATCTGTTCTTCCTGCACGGTAACCTAAATCAAGGGCTGAGAAATCCCTGGTTCCCCCACTAATCACAGCCAAGAAAGAATAAATAAATGTAGGGCCATCACCCTATCTTAATTTTCAAAACTGATAGCCTCACGACACATTTGACTTCACAACCCGTTTGGCATGTGCAGCTCCAATATGCAAGTCATGGATATTTATTCTACATGCCAGGTTATCGATACCAAAAAAGTTCCCGGCTTTTTCTCTCGCTATCCCGCTGCTATAAGTGTGGGTGCTACGGATGTTGAAAGTGCATTGTCGGCCATTGCTCAAGAGGCTTCCCAGCCTGACTCAAGAGAAAGACGTCGCGCGCTAATTCGGTACTCCAATGCCTATGGAGATCCATTTTCGATATGTCATTGCTCTGCCGAAGTCGAAAGACTGGTTCTGCTTGCTAGCATAATCGAGGTCATGTGGATACATGATGGTACGTTACACCTAATCATGAATAAACATAGATAGGAAAAGTCTAATATTTGATAAGATGTAACAGAAGAACTAGATCATAGCGCAGTAAGCTGGGATTATATATTGGGCAATGAGGTCGTTCACTAAAAGATGCGTAGGCATGCAGAGAACACAGTGCGCTTGCCGAAGTACTGAGAATCGACGTGCAGCCTTCAGATTTCACTTCAAAGAACGTACGACAAAGCGCACTAGCGACTGTATTGCGCAAAGCAATCGATTTAGATCCAGAGAAGGCGCCTAGAATGATCGAAACCCTGCAGGATTATCTTGCGACTTTTGATAGTCGAGACGACGACTTTGATCGAATGGAGGAGTATATGCCTTATAGAGTTGCAAACTGCGGCTATTGGCAAGTACTTGAAAGATTAGAATTTTACAAGGATATCTACTAATACTGCACGCTGCCGCAGGATATCATCTTACTTCATTCGTTGGGGAACGGGAATTACGCTTAGTCATACTGATTATGAATCAATACAGCAATATGACTTTACGATGGGAAATATACTTGGCTTAACAAACGACTATTTCAGTTGGAATATTGAGAAAAATCAGACTACGGATCGAATCAGGAACGGAGTGAGAGTGCTAATCAAACAGCATAAAATATCACCTGATGCTGCAAAATTATTGCTTCTCGGATTGATAGTTGAGGAAGAAAGCAAAGCTGTCAGACTCAAGAAAGAGCGCTTGAAGCGACCAGTTTCGCGCGAGTTATCTATGTATTTTGAGGCTATTGAGCTCTATGTTGGTGGAAGTTGCTTTTGGCATGCGACGGCGCCTCGTTATCGCGTTTTTGAATGAGGATTCAAATGTTTTGGCGAAATTGGCTTGCTCAGGCTGGGTGGATATTGACGATACCAGGTTATATCTTTTTCCGTTTTGATATAGTCGAATTGTAGGCTTTTAATCCTGAGCAAGTGCTTAGCGATACAATTACGGACCCAAATCATTTCACTGTGGTTTTCCCTTGGCGTAGACTAATCTCTACTTTGCGTTACAGTTATCGATCACGCTCTCAAGGCCCCAATCGATCTTACTCATTTACGACTTAGGCTCGTGCAGATATCTATACATATTAAGATCATAAAGACTCTATGTGAAAATGATGGAGGATCTGATTGCTCCTGCTAAGATTGAATAACAATCCTCACTCTACAACATTATATGTACAGTGTATAGAGCTTATTGTTTCAAAGTTTTTTTTTTCAACGACTTGTTATGTATCGAAAATCAATTATAGATTAGGTCAATAAGACCTCTTAAGTATTATTTAAGTCATTGTCATTCTCTCTCTAGCGTCTATAGACAAAACGAGGGTCATTTCGCGCAGAAGATAGTGAACGAGCTTTTTAATTATATGATCAAGCCCAGGTGGAAAAATCTGAAAAGAAGACTATAATCCTCGCTAGATGTAAGTTAAAGCACCCTCATCCTGAACACCCTAATTAAGCGATTTTCCGGACTATTGAAATCACCGATTTATTAGTTTCTTCTTTATTGTCCTCTTTGTGTCTACCTTCTCCAACTTCTCTAATCTTTACAATATATACGAACTTAGAATTAGAACTTCATTTTTCGCTTGCTAGGCCTAACTTTCTCTCATTATATCTATAAACACTAGATTTTAAACTCTTAGTCTTCTAGAAAGTCTCTAGATTGAAAGATTGAAGTTCTTGAGTAGATATATATGAACTCGTTTGACACTTTTAAGATAGAGAGTATAGAAGTGATTTCTAATGCTTTGTTTAATTTCTGTATAGGATGAGAGGTAAGAAATGAAATATTTAATCTAAGACCCTTGAGAGTAGCATGCAGCAGCAGTGAGAAGGCTATCTGTATCGAATCAGACTCTGGCGACCCGTGTGATAAGTTAAAGGATAATTTGTGCTAGATATCTGCTACAATATAACTTCCAAATACAATTGATTGGTTAGGATACAGACATACTCACCTGGCCCTGTCAGTCCAATCATTTGACTAGGAATCATTAAGAATTAGTCATTCTTAAAACCGTATACATGGAAACATCAATCGTAGTGAGTAATGAGGTAGCTGAAGATGCAATTGGCTGCTTATTCTCAAGGGCTCTTTTCCTCAACTGGGTTTCTTTCAATAGTCACACTACATATGTATATCTGGACGAAAAAGCGAAGATTGAAGGTTTGGAGAGTGCCCAGAAACCAATGGCTTCTATCGACTGGAAATATCTATAGTTATGGCCCCTGATTTTAACTCATCCAAGTTGAGGTGGAGTTTGAAGTGTAGCAGGCCTGCTAGAATTACATGAACAGACTTCCTCATCCATACCACAGTCCCCACCACGGCGACCAGTGAGTGCATGGACTGGCGGGACACTTTCTAACTTTCGAAACTCGCAAAATATTCGTTGTTTGACCGCTTGATATTGGAATTTATCTTTCTATTATTCAATTGGTAAGAAACCATTACGTGATATTTCAAAGCATCTTGACATGTAAAAAATAAAATTTATTCTTGTTTAAAGAAAGCAATTTGACTAAAGGAGGCAAACAGTAAATTTTTGGCAGAGGGTGCCAGATTGACACCTCCACCATTGACCAGGTATTGGGTTGCGTCAATTGTAAAGCCATAGACTGTAATGCCAGTACAATTGGTGTCGATGTTAAATAAAACCTCGGCGCATGTTGAAGAAGTTGTACAGTCTGAAGGAAGTAGTAAGTAAGGATTTGGTAATAGGGACTTAAGTATTCTTTGTAATCGAGAAACGGAGGACGAAAAGTGCTACATACCACTGTTCCAATTGTGAAAATATGTAAAATAAGAAGACCCATACACTACAATGTCGTGTGAGTTGGTCATGATTTGCGCCCAAGCGACTTGCCGAGAAGCACCATTGGTGCCGTTAAGAGGCCCAGAAAAGAAAGGGTCACTCAATTGCTTCTTATAGGGGTAAGGATAAGAGGCGATTGGATTTGGCTGGTAGTAGGGCTCTTCTGACTGTGCCATTGACATGAAGATATTCTTGGTGTTGGCGAAATTGTACTGGTATTTGGAGTGGTGCTCTGAAGGTGTGTTGATGAGCCAGTTGTTCCCAGCCACACTCTCGACCAGTATGCCTCTTCCAGTAAAGATCTGAACCTGGGTGAGATTACGATCGTCGATGTCGTGGTCTGCAGCCCAGTGCCAGCAGTTTTCCAGGTAGGCTCCAGTAGCGCTCTTGGTAATGTGCATCGACATGAATGCGGCCACGCAGTTGGCATCAACGGGCGGCTTCTTCACTCCTGGCGTCGTGGGGCACTGTGTAACCTGCAGCTCTGAGCCTTCCCAGCCACCGACGCGAGTATGTACGTCCCAGTAGCCACCCACTCCTGAAGTGGAAGAGGCGAGATTGTGCTGGATGAGAATTGCACCAGCAGTGCCACCTTGGGTACCTAGGACAAAATCGACAAGTTCTGTTGCTCCGCGCTCACCGGGTTGGCCAACTTGAAGCAGAGGCTGTGGGTGATCAAGAAACTTGAAGTATTCCCCGGCAGCAAAGATGTTTGGGAAGGCCTCGCCAACGATCTTCGTGTTACCGGGGATGTACAGTGTTTTCGTAACCTTGTAGCTTCCGTGGTCGAGAAAGAGAACCTTCGACTGTGCAGCAGAGGAGAAAATGGCTGCTTGAAGAGCCGCCGTATCATCCGTTAGTCCATCCCCCCTTGCACCAGCAGACCGAGCGCTGATGAATGATTTGACGGCAAGACTTTCATATCCAGGTTTGGCCTGGGAGTACCATTTCTGAGATCCAGGCTGGAGGAGCCCACTTGGTCGCTTCATTGGACTTAACGATCCTGAGAAGTTGGAGGCGATGTTATCCTGTAGCTTGTTACCTTGTCCCCATCCCAAGATCGTGCCAGTCCCGCCTGCGAGCACTGCGCCTTTACCGACTAGCTGTACTAGGATGGTCACATTTTGATACTCTACGTTCTCGAGAATTAAACTTCCCGCAGCTGACGACTGGAAGAGAGGATCCCCACGGTCTGAAGCAATGCCGATCTGAACATTCTTGAGAGAGCTGTCAATCAAAGAGACTGCTCCGGTGGCAATGAACGTTTGAATGGCTGTGGAGCAACCATTGAAGGCAACTCCCTGAGCCGTAACCGTGGTAGAGGTCTGGAGATTGAGTCCGGTGACACAGCCGTTGAAGGTGACATTGCGAAGATTCGCTTGGCCACTAGGGATTTTAAATCCATCATGACCGCCATTGAAGACGAGGTCGCTGTAAAACACCTCCCCTCCTGCACTTGTGAGTTAGCAGAGACACCGTAGATTTCAAGATTGAGAAAGCATAAAGTGAAGCTCACCACCTCCCATCAGCCCGATGTGCTGGACTCCCTCAATGGTAGGCATGTTGACGACTATGTTATGAAGACTAGTTGCTTGTGCTGATGGCCAGCTGATCCCCGTAACGTTGACACTTGGAGGTACCAAGGTTGTATCAATGACAAGATTCCGGAGCTGTCTGAAAAATATGTTTGCGGCCATCGCAGCAGATGATCTGTACTACGTTAACTCATGCGCGCAAGTTCTTCGTGAAAATGAAAACTGACGGGTTACCATCAATCAATCCTATTGCCCCCGGTGCATTTTGGAAAGCGGGGAGTGCCTTGATGACTGGTAAACAGTTGGGGTTTCCATGTAGAGAGACCCCATAGTTCTGAATAATAGTAGAGTTTACCATGTAGGTGCCCGCTGGGAAGTATACTAATGCCTGGGCTTTCTTTGAATTGTCAGCGGGAACGTGTAACGTCTTAGAACCAGAGGTGACGGGTCTCAGGAGGGGGACAACATCCTACGGCAAGTAAAAACTTACAGTGGTCGACAAACATGAGTCAGGGGCACAAGTATTACCACTGCTGATGGCAGCATTGATGGCGGCTGTATCATCTGTAGAGCCGTCTCCCTTGGCACCGAAGTCCTTGACATTGCGAAAGACGTGAAATTCACGGGGGTTTAGATTGAAGGCTGCAATGCCTTGGTGTTTGATATCTTCAAGCCAGTAGCTACAAGAGTGAGAGTAGGGGGAAGCATCCGCATCTCCCTGACCGCCGCTCGACGCGGCTCTCACGGAGTCCAGGAACAAAAGGCAGGTAAGAAACTCCAAGAAGTACAATTTGAATACCATTGTAGAGGGAGTGAGTGGGATGATAGATGTTGGCATTGAAATCTTTGATAGAAATCAGACATCTTCTTATTCTCTCCTATATAGTGCTGGTAATGGTATTGTCTCCAGGGCAAGACGACTTGACGGAGTTCCCATGTCCCTTGAAATTATCATGGATTACACAGCTTTTCAGTCCAAATACCAGAGTTCAAAACCATCCGAACTGCTAAACTCTGACGTAGATTACTCTTCACGCTAAACAAAACGCTGCATCGCCACTTTTGGTGGGGCCTTTGAAGGGCTGTCCCAAGTAATACTCGCTGAGTTCTTGTCAAGGCCTTTAGGTCTACCGTTAGTGCTTTTGAAAATATGCTTGTGCTAAGATCGTTAACAGGGACTGTAGAAATTGAGAGTAGCAATATTAGGATGTCTCCTCTTTTAGGAGACACTAAGTCTTATTTAGGAGAGGGGGAGATGCTACCCGCTATACGTGGACAGCTTTAGAGTTGCCCCACTTGTAAGTCAGATAGTACTTCGTACATTCTCGTATGAAAACTGATTACGGCATCAGCTTTCTCAAAGCGAATACGGAGCTATACGAAAGCTGGGAGGGAACCTAGACATAAGTTGTCACGGTCAAACTAGCGTGGGGCTCTGAGCGGCACGTGGTATTGGACCACTCCAGGCCGACAGCAGCCTGTACAATTATAAATTGTAAAATTATCTAATCAATTTATTGCTATACTTTTATAATTATATAGAGATATAAAGAATTGAGGATTTTTATTAAAAGACAAATCAAAATAACGAAAAATCTCAAAATTTTTGCCGTTTTGAGTGGCCAAGAAGACCCCTGTTAAGCAACGGCGCTCGTAGCTGGCACCTTATTAGGAGATAGAGAACTCATCTCTATAAGATAGTTCAAATCTTATTCATTCGTTGATACAATCAATTCTAATAAAGCAAGTATCATAGAGTTTTATTTATTTAGTTAAAAGATAGCTCAGAAACTAGTGCGTCGCCTAGTGGAAATATCTGCTATCACTTTAACTTCCTGCTTTCGCTGTTGTCTAATTCAGAACCATTTTCCATCGGTTTTTCCCCACTAACTACTACATACTTGATACTATTCCGGCATTTCCACCCCTCTACCCCTGCCATAGTGTTTACAAAATGTTTCTGGAGACCGAAAGCTAAGACCAATAGATATGGGATATATGCCAACACGAAGAAGAACCGAACCATCGGTTTGACATTTATAGTGATATCTTCGGTCACGACATTGGTAAAGCCAGCATCAGCAAATATTGAGCTAATCGATCCATATGTGAATCGATCGAACGCGGGCATCGCAGAATGTTTGTTGATTGTGCTCCACGAATCCACCCTTGCCTTCGGCTCCGACTTCATGTCACTATGCTCATATTCGAAAAGTGCTACACGACCACCTGGCTTCAACACGCGATAAAATTCACGAGCGACTGTTTCTGGAGAGGTGCTATGAACAAATGTTTCCATAGTATACACACCTTCCAACGAGTTGCTTGCAATTCCGTCAAGGTGATGGTAGTCCATTTTTCCAACCGTAACTCTTGCCTTCATCCCTTGTTTCTCAATGTTCCGCCTAGCTTTCTCGAGGTGATGGTCTATGACGTCGATCCCCTGGTCTCGAGCGAGTGAACTTTTGCGAGGCGCAAAGCAACATGGCCTACGCCACATCCTGCATCCAATACTCGCGAACCAGAAGGAAGGCTCAAAGTCTTCGCGAGGTAATCCTCCATTCTGTGTAGCGCGGCTCCAATTGGGAAAGGATTGTATTTGTCGCGTTCATAACAGCCAAAGTGCCTGGTACCACCGAGAACAATTTGATAGCCAAGAGGAGATTCAATTGTGTGGTAATAATCTTGCAGAGACTTGTTTTCGTTTATGATGGGAGCCATTTTGTTTGGGTTATCTGTCATGGCGGACGATCCCTTGAGGACAGAGAGCTTGATAAGCAAGAAATGGCTCGATAAGGTTGATGTGTTGACAAAGAAGATAAATTGACTGCGAATGATTTATTAGTGAGGTAAGTTTGCCAACGACAATGAATGAGCTGACATGGAGTAATCTTATGTAGGCAGTGAAATGTGACAACCATGTACTTCAGGAACGTGTTGTGATACCATTTTTCGTGCGACACGGTGCCTGAGATATTAGTCTATACAGGCGCTTACGGTCATGGTAAAAATGAACCTGTTTGGTTCCTAGGCTTTTTGAGTCAATCTTCATGAGACTCGCTCTAACGGAATTGGTAAATGGCTTTTTGTGATGATAACTGGAAACCCTTGATTCTCTACTGAACAGATTTCTGGTGATTTCGTTTCGTTAACGTAGTTTAACACCGAGTGGCCCATATTACCAAGTGGCCCACTTTCACCTCAATTTACACTTTCAAACTCATATTATTCAATAACAATTAAATCAATTGATTGAAACTATTAAGAATCTAATAATCTAGGATCTATTATATTATTTTAACAGATTCTTATATTATATCCTATCTTTCCGCATTTACTACAACATCGATTAGAAGATATTTCCCTATTAGAATTCCCTCTTTTTGACATTCATCATATTGAATCTGAATATCAACCTTTTACTAAAATAATATATCAAAAGCCTCTTGTTCAATAAACACTTTTCCTTAATATAATTAGGTTTTTTTCATATATCAATGTTTGCTTAATATCTCATTTGCTACCCGAAATATATAAATCTCTATATTTAAAAATGTATTCTTATAAGCTAATCTTTCTATACCTTTAGCTAAAGCTAATATAATCTTAAATATAATATAGGAAAGCTTGATTGATAACAAATTATTCGAGATTTAATTAATATTGATTAAGAAAAGCTTCAATTAGATTGTAAAGAGTTTAAAAAATCCATTAATCTAGATTGAAAGAAGAAGAAATAGATATACGAATTCGAATATCTAATTTTGAAAGCACAGCTTCAGGATTAAATAGAATTAAACCTGTTCCTCGAAACCCTGATTTCATATTCTGAAAGATAATTGATTCTTTGTATACAATTTTAAAAGCTATAAAAAATTCAACTTTTGAAATATAATTAATATATATCTTAATGAATCTATCAATCTGAATACTATATAAATATTTCAGATTGCTAAAATAATCTATATCAAATAATTAAATTAAATAATTTGAATACAATAATAAACATATATATTATCACGGGGCAGGCGGGCGGGATAGGGTTCTAATAACTTTGCCCTAATCTGGCAAGGTTATACTGATTCGGGTAATAGGTTCAGATTGAGGATTAAGATGTAGCTCAAAGAGCTATAATACAGGATCTTTCAAGTTGAAGATATACAGGATTTTGCTAAGCAAACTAGCCCGATTGGGCCTTAGCTTACTTACGCTCCAGCGCAAATACCCAATTCGGTCCTTTCCGAAGGAATCAATATATCACGTAATCTTATATCATAACATTACCCCCCTCCTAAGAGCTAAGCTTTATTAAAGCAAAAATATTATAATTTGATTATCTAGAGGCGAACAGTATTCGATCAAATAGGTTCTGGTTTATTAGGGTATTTTTGATGGAAATTGCGAATCAGTTTTTGTACGTTTTTCAGATAGCTTGCAGGTTCCTTGATTGGCGTATTGTAGTCGACCCAACGGATAATATATTTCAGACAAGATCCTTTACAACCTCTTCTTTCTTAACAAGAGTTCAGGATTTCGATAATCTCAAAATGCTTAAGGCTGTTTACTTTTATAAAGGGTAATAACGGATTACACTGCCCAGGAACAAGATTATTATATGTAGGATATAGCAGGTTGATATGAAAAAACAAGGTGAATCTTTATCAAGGCTGGGAGCTCTAGTTTATAGGCATAGGGGCCTATCAGGTTCAGGATTTTGAAGAGCCTGAGATTCTTCCAATCGAGTTTTTTCTGTAAATGCAGGGTCTTGATGTTTCTAGTATTCAGTTAGACTAGATCATTGGGCAGGTATTTACGGGTAGGGGAACAGTGGGCATCGGTATTCTTTGAGTATTGGGCTTGACTAATAGTTAGTTCGGTTTATAGGTATAAGGAGATAACTTTCATTTTAGTAACGAATTCTTCAGTATCTTGTATGATAAAATGGTTATTCTGGGATGGTATAGGTTCGAAGTCCAGGCGGGGGTGAAACCCGTAATTCAAAAAGAATGGGGTTATTCGGGTACTTTCGGACCAGGCATTGTTGATAGAGAATTCGATAAGTAGGAGTCACTTTGTTTAATCGTCTTGTAGGTAGGTTATATACAATTGGAGGTATTATTCTAGTATTACATTAGCTCTTTTGATTTGTTTATTAGTTTCAGAATAATAAGCAATTGAAAGCTTAACGGCTATGCCCAAGTGCTTACAAATATATTTCCAGAATTTAAAAACGAATTGAGCTTTATAATTAGATATAATAGTTAGGGATAAGCTATGGAGCTTCTAGATATTCTTTTGGAATAAGTGGGTGATCTCTTTGGAGTTATAGGTATTATAACAAAACAAAAAATATTTCATTTTTATCAATTAATCGATTACTACCATAATAACATCGAAATTGGTATTTTAAGTAAATATATAATAAAATCTATTAAGATATCTTACTAAGCTCTTTATGGAATTGGGAATGGGCGGAAAACTCTCTTCTAGCCTTTGTGATTTGGGGCAGTATGGTGGTAATTATAGTAGTTGTGGACTTATTACATAATATAATTATAGTATTCAGGCTAATAATAGTTTCGAAATAGTAATTCAAAGGTTCAAATATGATACAGATAACCAACGGCAAGCGATTTGTGGTATAGACAGAATAAATAGGTTTTTAGGGAATCATAATTGGAAACATATAATTTCTCTTGGTAATATAGTAGGTTATTATTTTCGATACACTCAGCAAAAGTGATTTTCGGATATTTCAAGAATCCCTCTCATAGGGATTTCAGGATAGATTCGGGTACAGGGGTTAGCTTGATAGCCTTCGTGGAACAAAATAAGCAGATCGGTAGAAAGGTTTAAAGGGTTTTCTGGGTTCTCTAGTTGTATTGCAGGGTTGGATACAGATATAGCATATGGGATTATAGGCTCTATAACTTTGCTATTTTCTGGCAAAATTACGATATTGTCGGAATCCAAGTGGTTGGTGGTATTGGTAGGGTTGGGGTTTCTCTGGTTATAAGTGGTTATAGCAAAGTGTACTTTCTTGGTAATCTTAGATTCGATTAGAATAATAGTAGTGGGAAATAGATCGGAATCCAGATTCTCTTATTTCAGAATAATACAGTTTTGATACAAAAAGCGTTCATTTTCCTTCTTAGGGAGATCTTCTAACCTTCTAGTCAGTGCATCGGGTTTGGCACCTAGCTTTTCGGGGCAATAGGTAATTCGAAAATTAAATTAAAATAGAAATTCGGATTAGCAAGCTTAATAGCAATTCAATAGCTTTATTATAATGAAGTATTCTAGATTCCTATAATCAATAATCACTTGAATTAATAATATAGCGCCTTTCAACTTAAGATATCATTCTTTAAAGTAATAAATAATAGCTAATAGTTCTTTATTATAAATCTTATAGTTATATTTAGCTACCAAGTGTTTTTTAGAGAAAATGCAACAGGTCTAAATACTCCATTATTATTATATTGGGAAAGTACTTTAGCGGATATATAATCGAAGATATTGGTTTCTATAATCACTTTCTTTTCCTAATCAAAGAAAACTAGAATAAGTGCTTCAGTAAATGTTCACTTCAATTGATCAAACGCTTCTTGATAGACAAGACTCCACAAAAACAGAACATTCTTTCTGGTCAGATCTATCATCAAATTAATAATCTTCGAAAAATCTCTAATAAACTGTCGGTAAAAGTTCGAAAACCCAATAAATGCTTGGACGTCGGTTATGCTAATAGGCAGTTTCCAATTTACGATTATTCAGATTTTCTCTAAATCCATTCAAATATTATCGTTTTCTACAATAAGGCCTAAGAACTTGATTTCAGATTTCAGAAATTCACACTTTTCGAATTTAGCAAACAAACCAGCTTCTCTCAATACTTATAGAACCTTCTGGATATAATAAATATATTCCTCTCGAATTCGACTATATATCAGAATATCGTTTAGATAAGTAATGCAAAATATATCCAGGTATTTCTGTAGGGAATCATTAATAAACTTTTGGAAGGTTGCGGGAGCTTTTGTCAATCTAAACGGTATAACTAAGGATTCGAATAGTTTGAATTGGGTATGGAATATAATCAGATATTCCTATCCTTCTTTTATTCTTATATTATTAAAGACAAAGATAATATCGATTTTATTAAAATACTTTATTCTTTTCAGATTATTTAGAGATTTTTTTGTTAATGGTAAGGGGTATTGATTTTTAACCAACAAGTTATTCAAAGTGTGGTAATCTATATAAAATCGGAGGTCTTTATTGACTTTCTTGATAAACAAGATAAAGAAAGCGATAAAGAAAAAACTCGGCTGGATGAATCCTTTTCTAAGATTCTCTTTTAGTTATTTTTTCAGGACTTCTAATTTGGGGTGGGATATAGAGTATAAGGTATCGAAAAAAGAAACAGCTTTTTTTTTAAAACGAATCTTATAGTTATATGGTCGATGAGGGAATAGCTTCTCTGCATTCTTTGGGGAGAAGATATCTTTCCAATTTCGGAATTTGGGTAATAGGTCTTTGGGATCAAATACCTTTTTCTTTTTATTTAGAATATTATCAATTTGTTTAATCGATATTTGGAATATTTCATATTTCTAATGGGTGTAAGTTGAATAGGCTTTTAGGGAGATCGCAACTATATCCTTATTCTTTAACTCTTCGGGGTGGGTAGGCAGGTATACAAATCAGGCTTTTAAAGGAATATCTAACAGAGCTTTTATATGGGATGGGTAGGATGGAGTATTACAAAATTCGTAGTAAAATGAATTATCAAATTGAAACGAGTTTATTGCGAAATCGATACAAGAATTGTGTTTCTTAAGCCAAGCTATCTTCAGTACAATAGAATAATAAACTAGCTCGATTATATACAAAATAATCTTCTTCTCAATATAATTATTGATTTTAAGTTCTACTCAAATATAGGAAGTAATTCAATTATCGAACAGAATGTTTCCATTGAATTCTATAACTTCGAATGTTATAGATAATTAATATACTAGTATTTTCTGGGAAGACATTCAATTTTGATTTACAAAGATAATTTCTTTATATTCATTATCGACTATAGCATATATCAAAAAGGTATCTTTTTCCAAAAATAGAATGATGGGTAGAATTATTAAATCCATATAATTATTTAATTCATTTTCTAAAGGAAGATTATAAATAGTAGTAGTAGATAAACAGAGGGTATGCGAAGAATTGTTCTAATTGCGGTTTAGGTTAGGCGTATCCTGTTTCCCAAATTGATTGAACTAATCAATAAGTAAGGAGAAAAGCGAGGTAAGAAATGGATAGGAACTCAGCCCCTTGGAGAATTATTTAATACAAGACTGATTCTTGTAGGGCTGATTGTAATAGTAATAACTTAGAATTGAACAGAACAGGTATCAGAATATAAACAATCTCATATCAAATAGCTAACAAAGCTGTAACAATAGCATTCACTATATTCCCACCGCGAATCCAGATTTTTAGTAGTATATTTCTTTTTTCCTAAGCTTAGATTCATTAGGTCTTTAGGAATAGATTTCGGGCTAGTGAGTTGTAAAGGTGGAGTAGTGATTATTCTCCGGAATAAAGTTTTGGAAATAATAGGATAAATATAATAAACTTGTTATTGATATTAACAGAATTGATTATTGAGTTATTATAAATAATTAGTATATTAACGAAATTTATGAATTGGAATGGGATTATGCAATAATATATTTTGTAATTCACAAGAGATTTTTTGAAATAGAAATAGGGTTAGAATATTATTAGATATCTTTTCTTTTAAAGTGAATCTCTGGAATTCTATAAAGAAGGTATTAAAATCGAAATGTCTTTGCTTTAATATATATAGTTTGTTCTATGCATTTTATATTCAATCAAGATTTTCAAAGATATTTTCAAGATATTCGAGAAGTATGATATAATTAGTGAACTAAGAAATCCTATAAGAGATCTTAGATAATATAAGCTTATATGTCTTTCTAATAAGTTTTTTAGTAATATAAATTAAATAGATAGAAGTTATTAGAAATCTATTATTATTTGTATTCAATTTTCTATATATTTGTTGAATAAATCTGTACAGGTCAGAGCGAGTACCATTAACCTCTTTTGGATCGGGAATGCACTCACTCAATCAAATGATCAGAGCAGGTATAATAGGTTCGGGGATAAAGTCAATAGGAGTTTCGGGGGATACAGTTTCCAAACAAGCAGATATAATAGGCATAGATTCGGCAAGGCGATTGAATAAACAGGCGTTTTGAATAGCAATCTGCTCATGCAAAGCGACTTGAATATGTTTGCAGACTAGGGATTCGGAAATTTTGCATTCAAGTGATCTGTTGGTTTCCTCCAGCTCGACATAATATGCAGATACCGATTAAAAGTATTAATACCAAACCTGAGGGTCCTCTAATACAGAAATACCAAATTCTAAGGAATCCCTAGATTGGCTAAGTAGGTGTGGAGTAGTTATTGCGAAAGCAATATTTTAATAGGTAAAAGCTACATAATATTATGGGGCAGGCAGGCAGAATAGGGTTTTAATAATTTTGTTTTAATCTAACAAGGTTATATTGATTTGGATAATAGGTTTAGATTAAGGATTAAGACATAGCTCAAAGAGCTATAATACAGGTGTTATATGGATATATATATAGTAGTAAGCTATCAGGAAACAATCCCTGATACTGTGCCTTTTGGACAGATTGCGTGTGTGGCGTAGTGGTAAAGCTTACAACTCCTATTGTGTCCGCTTACGTAACAGAGTATCAGGGATTTTACCTTGTGGATATCGTTCTGGGATCTCTGATTTCGGGCTTTTAATTGGGACTGGGTTAACAGCCAATTGAAAAGTGGATCGAATTAGGGACGAGGATGTATCTGCTTAATGATTGGATATTCTGAATTCATTAATAATGGATTATTAATGGTGAGGATATTGGATAATAGAAGAGTGTTATTCTATTATTACAAATCATATGGTTGACTATAGTATAGTATAATAGCCCCTGTACTAGCCTTTTCGGGACGAAAAAGGTTAAAGAGGAGGGCTCTGTTATATGGATATATATATAGTAGTAAGCTATCAGGAAACAATCCCTGATATTGTGCCTTTTGGACAGATTGCGTGTGTGGCGTAGTGGTAAAGCTTACAACTCCTATTGTGTCCGCTTACGTAACAACAGGATCTTTCAAATTGAAGATATACAGGATTTTGCTAAACGAGCTAGCCCGATCGGGCCCTAGCTCACTTGCGCTCCGGCGCGAGCGCCCAATTCGGTCCCCTCCGAGGGGACCAATATGTCACGTGATCTCACACCGTGACATATATTTAATATTATTCTTTTTACAATATACTTAAAAAGCTTTTGATTTATAGCTTTTATACCCATTTAATACTAATATTCGATATTTACCCTTTCTTCGATTCTTAATATACTTATCGAAGTATTTCAATCATTCTAAACCCGTTTCATTGTTTGTTTATCTATTAGATATAAATTTAATAACTTAATTCACAGGAAAATCGATTTCTATATATCAATTGAAAAAATGAATCTATCCTTGAATTACTAGAAATAAAGATATAGTTTCACCCTCCCCATTACCATATATAATCGCTATAGCCTATTCCCTATTGTCTAATTATATTGCCTTACTTCTGTCATTTCGTTCAATACTTATTACCACCATTCCAAAGCATATTATATCCATCATAAAGCCCATTTCATCAAAATTATAGAAATCGCAATCAAGAATATCATATTTTGCTTATATATTCGAAATTAATCAAACCATTTCTTAATAAGCTTAGGATCTTTATAAAAAAGCTTTTTGAAAGTTATAAATACAATTAAAATATATCTTTAATTCGATTCGATACTTTACAAATCGATATACCTAAAGCTTTCCAATACGTTTTGCACCCCTTGATTCAAGAATATAATTTACTATATCTTCCACATTCTTTAATTTTGATAGAAATCCTCTTGAATCTATATTGAATATATATTGAACAATCACTTTTTCTTTTAATTCTATAATCTTATAATTATTGGCTCGAATTTCTATATAAAGAGATAAACCTTCTATTCTATATCAAAAAGTCATACAAGGGATATTATAAAATATAGCAGCTTTTCGAATATTTAGTTTTTATCTTTATAAATAAATTCGATAGCAAGAAGTATATAAACTTCTTGGTTATTCGAATTCATTATAGATTGTTGATAAAACGCATATTGAAAGAGAAAGGTGTAAATTGAGGTGAAAGTGGGCCACTCGGTGATATGGGCCACTCAGTGTTAAACTACGTTATCTAATAATCAATCAAAGATTGTGGCTCGGAGTTTATTCGGCTCAATCCTGGTATGTAAATGTACCAAACATGTGATCGTGATCTACACCTACTCGACCTACACAGTAACCTCATAAAGATAACAACAGAACACCATTAATAGCAAGGCTTTCCATTTTCAATGGTTTCATAGTATCTACATTTGTTCTCAGAAAAGAGATTACTGCTTACTCCGAAAAGTAGTTCCTTTTCCATATCTAAGGAATTACCAGTCCCAACATCCCCTCCTCCATCTACCCATCCGAGCCATCCAGGAAGCGAGCTAGGAGCGCTTATGGCCTGCCAATAGGATTTATCCTACTAGTACCGTCAATAGAGCTATATAATGCGCTAATGCCGGTTAAGATAGCGAACTGGTGCTGTCGGTCCATAGATCAAACGGGATAATATCCGTACCCGGCTGACTTTCTGCAGGATGACATCCAACTGTTGAGATATAAATATCGCACTATGCTGTTACGATATCTCTTTTGCTATTCCTTGAAACCCCCAAACGTTTCGTAGATTCTACGATTCTATAGGGTAATTTACGTATCCTGTTGACGAATAGAGTCAATATTCTGCAGGACATTACCCCCAGCACTGGCTTTTGGCGCTGAAAACATGCGAAGAACGCCACAGTCTTGAATTGTTAAACATTTAAATCCGAGAACAACCACACAAATGCTATGTGGCAGTATCATAAGCAGGGGGGGCAAGGAGGGTTGGTTTTTTGGAGTCTTCGGCTCGTTGATTATTACCCAATGCTCGGCCATAATCTCTTATACGAAACGGGCGCTGAAATGTCTCTAGTCAAACTTCGGTCTGGATATCTGCTTGAATGGAGTCTTTTGGGGCAAATAGTAACAAAATCCAAGTTTTTAGTTCAGATTGCCAGTTTTAGCCGTAAAATCGTAGTATTTCACTACAGATCATTGCCTTTTTATTATATATCGCACAATCGCACAATCATGCAGTCACTCTTAAAACTAGTTATTTGATTAGTCTGTAGAGTTATTCGAATCAATGATTGTAAAATAATTAGCTTTATGCTACTCGATATAATATACGATCTGCACTGAAATACTGCGATGTACATCTGAAACTAGCAATCTACACCTAAGACTAGCATCCTACACCTAACACTAGCAGTCTACAGCTAAAACTAAAGGATTGAATTTTATCACTTTTGTCGCAAAGATACACCATAGCTTATCCTCAATGTGACCCTATGCTTATGAACAATGTAATGCAACGGCCTTCCATAACCAATGAATATATCCCCTGAAGAGTCTGTTACCTGTCATAGATATCTGGAGTAAGTAGGGGGTTCTTTTATCATGGTAGGCGATGGGATTATATCCTTCTTTACTGGCATAATTTGAAAATTTTCGTCGTTCGAGAAATGTCATCTCATTCAAAATTCAATTATTGTACTGCTATGTTGTTTTCAAGACTTCACATGCATGCGATTTCCTTCATACTATTGAATCTATCCAGTGCTTATACTTGTCTACCCATAGCACCATTTGCCGACCGTATGACCTCCACAATTGGGAAGGAAACGACAACTAATGCTACAGCTATAGATTCGAATAACACCAGAAGCACGGTGAACTCAGGATGGACTCAAAGCCCAGATGGACGAGGCAGCTTTGACATACTCTGGAACTGTGCCTCTGTTATGATATTATGCTCCTGGTCGATACTCTGTTTAAATCTTCCTGCTCCAGGCGAAACTATCTTTGTGAGTATCTGCCGGCGATTGTGGCTTACGGCTCTCGGTTTTCTTGGCCCCGAATTCACCCTGCAAGCAGCAATCGGGCAATGGGCAGCAGCTAGGCAGTCAGTTGAGGAATTTAGAGGGGCTGGGATTGAGGGCTGGGAAATGATACATGCCTTCTTTGCAAATGCTGGAGGGTTTGTACTCAAGACTTCAGATCATCCGGATTATTTCGTTCCTTTGAACGCAAAGCAATTGCTACACCTTGTTAAAAGCGAATACGTTCTCTTGGATTCGACTGAGAACATTAAGAAAACTGTTAAGGATCGGAATAAGACAGATGGTGTTCTTCGTGCCATTACGATCCTCCAAACGACCTGGTTCATGGTGAACTTTCTTACCCGCTTGATAGAACATCTACCCGTCACTGGATTGGAAATTACAACAGTGGCATTTATATTGTGCGCCTTGGGTACTTCTGTGTGTTGGTGGTATAAGCCTGCAGACGTAACTACCCCGGTAATCATCTCATCTCAATTCACCATCGCCGAGATCCAAAACGGTGCCGCAGTGACCAGACATGACCACTCACCTCTTGATTGTATTGTCTCACGTCAAGAATGGCCCTGGTCACGCTCCTGGCAACATTGGATCAATATCCTCCGGTGGATGAGAATCGAGAAAGTCCTCTTTGTCGAGTACGCGAATGAAGCCGGCGACGGCACTTATATCACGAGAATTGAGAATACATATTGGTACGAACTAAATGGGGGTTATATGTCGACTTTTGCATTAATGTCTATCAGCTATCCTGTCATTTTCTTATCATCCTGGAACGAGACGTTCCCAACACATGTCGAACAATTTCTTTGGCGCATCTCATGCGTTGCACTTGCAGCTACTATTGTTATATATTTTGTGGTAGTGGTGTTATGGTGTTCCGAATCAGAAGAAGAACGGAAAATCCGGCGAGAAATATGGGAACAGAAGGCTGCAAGAAGACAAAGAGTCTCTTCTGAACAGCTACATGGCGCATCTCGATTCAATCAACTCTTACACAAGACTACAAGTCTCCAGTGGTTGTATGATTCTAAAGCCAAAATAATCAACAATTCCAAAACAAATGATCCTTTACTCGACGTCAACCCGAAAGCCCAAGTAAGCATGTATGTTTGCGCCTTTATATATTGTTGTGCCAGGACATATCTTTACATAGCGGATCTGACGCAATTGAGGTCGATGCCCAAAGGCGCCTATGAAACTGTACATTGGCCAAGTTGGTTCCCTCACATTGAATGAGTGAATTCCCTACAGCCATGAAATTACATATTACGAATGTGAGGATGCTATACGCATCCGTAACTCCGTTGATCGCTGGCGATCCGGATCATATACCTCAGCATTTGATTTCCGTCTTTCATGGAGCTTTTTACAGTCAGTCAACTTGGTGATTCCAAAGTTTTGCGATGCCGAATATATACTTCATGAACAGAAGAGGGCGGGGCTGTGAGGAATAAAAAGTACCTGGGTGAATTTTGGATGTTGAATATATGATTTCGTAATACAGGGTGTCAAGAAACTGAGTCTTATGTGGACGTGAGTGTGCAATTTTTGAGAGGTAATTGTATTATCGGATGAAAATAATGCTGTATCAATCCGGCAACAACAAACCAAGAAATTCAAAACCTTCAGATGCAAGGTATCTAAGATAGGAATGAAATATCTAGAGTAGAATGGAATGAAGCATTTCCATGAAAGCTGGTTTAGTATATTTGAAAGAATGATGTTGTGGATACTATCTATCCAGGGGCATAGAATGTATGGGTTGCGATTTTCTAGTCTCCTTCAGTCTGATATGGACGATAAACTAGTATTAGGTAGTGTCTAATTTGTTTATGTGACGAGAGATGATGAGATCAACAGAGTATCATATCATATCTAAACACATCAATACTTTTCAGACTTCGGATTTTCAACCTCTTTTAACAAAAAGGAGATTTCGAGAATCTTAACATGTGAGATTACCCAATTTTTTGGGAAGTCTTCTCTAGAAACCTTTGAAGTTCTTGTGGTAGTGAATTCAAAATAAACTTCAATTCAAAAACCTCACTTAGTACGAAGGGAGTGATTAAGACTGAATATACTAACTATACGCATGAATGTTATAGAATAGCCCCTTGATGTATATATCTACACTATACATTAACCGAGACTGATTCAATTCTGTCGTCAGGATTATTTATTCTATCAATTCCAGGTTGAGATTCAATGATTATTTGATATTTTAATATTCAAGTGAATTAAACATTAAGGAGAGACTGAATTTTTAGTTCAATTTGATAGGTGGAAAAAAAGTATTTGAATGATATGATCGTAGTAGCTTGAATCGATGAGCTGTATTTACATGGTCACATACCATCGTCTGATTTATTAAGCCGTTACTCTTTAATTATTGTATTGAAGTAGATATAACCAATTGAATATCGTCTAATGTATTTTTGCATCAAAAATCTAACGGTTTCAAAAGTCTTGACTTAAGTCGTTGTTACAATGAAATTGAGGATAGACTTCTAAATATCCAACCCCAAACTAGAGAAATTGGCATTCTCGTCTGATATGCGTAACGGCAAGCCTCTTGATTGTCCCAGTCAATTAAAAACAATCAAACCAATATCATCCGAAGTAATCAACAATGCTGCAAAATGAAGATTTCCCAAAAATTTGAATGGACCAATTCAAAAATCACGAGGCTGCACAGCCTTGAGTTACGATGAAGATGCAAATTTCTCGAGGAAACTGACTTTGTATTAAAACAGCGGCGAGGCTAGACCCTCGCATGCTTGAAAATAACTAATGAAAAGGCAGAAATCCATTACGTTTTATAAATCTGACCTATTGTGGGCCAGAGTTCTACTTTAAAAGCAATTTAATAATTAAATCCACCGATGCGCACCAAGATAATGGACCGCACCCCCATCATAGACCAATTACTCCTCCCTGCCCCCTAACTCCCAAATCATCCAATCAATTACATCCATTTCCAACCGTCGCCATAGCCGACCAGATAAGCAGCCAGATCAATAGCCCCAAGAAAGCAGCTTGCGCGGCATATACCCACCACTTGTAGGCATGAATCCGCGACGGTTCCTCCCTCTTCTCCCGAAGAATTGTCGCAAAGCATAGGATCGAAACTAAGGTAAAAGCAATGAAGAAGGCAGTGATTACTATACAGGCCTGCCAGGCACTGCAACCCGGACCTCGCTTCTCATGCTGATGAGATCCGACAGCACGACGCTTTAGGAATTCCAGAGATCTGAATAGACTGTTAGGTCTGTTGCGGATTGCGGGAGAAGAGGTTGAAGTTGGGGATATAGTTGGAGCAGATGATGTAGCAGAGGCTATAATGCCAGCAGTGCAGGGAGTTAACACATCCTGGGAAGAAAGATGACAAAGACCAGTAGCAAGAGTCGTGGATAGAGTTGAGATCGTTGTAATGGCAGTGGTTGAAAATATCTCTGTTGTCAAGATCGTAGGCGTTAGGAAAGCCGTGGTTGCAACGGCAGTGGTTGTAGAGAGTTCAGTTGACAAGATTGTAGAGGTGAGAGAAGCCGTAGAAGTGACGTTAAGGGTGACTACAGCGGTGCTTGTGCTCTGAGGCAGAATAGTAGTAGCGACGACGTTGGTATAAGAGACGTATACGATGGAAGTAGAGTATACGGTTGATTTTGCCCGTTCCAGGTAGACAAATCCGCTACCACCAGCGGATACAGAGGGATAGGGGAGAGTCTCGACCATGGAGGATAGGTCTGAATCGAACGAGCCAGCAATCGTTTGGGCGGTGATAAGAGCACCAGCGGAGGCAGCAGAGGAGAGAACAGCATCTAGATAAAGGTCAACGACCATGGTTCAAAACTAGAAAGCTGGATATAGGACAGAGGGAAGCTTACCTTGAGCAAGAGTCAAGACGAACATTAAGAACAAGAGCAAAAGCTTGTAGACATCCATCTTGATGTTGCTTTGGAAGCTTAATTAGTATGGTAGTCTAAGATATGAGATCTCACTGGGAGGACAATAAGATATACTGCTGGGAATATTCTGCTCTGGCAGGAAAGGAAAGAAAGATACTTACAAGACGAAAGATAAGCCAGAATTGGGTTACAGAGCTTAAAGAGTGTTTCGAAGAACTCTGAGTGTGAATCAGAGGTATCGATAACGTTGATGTATGGTCTAGAATAACGCGCAAATTGATTTGAAAGAACGATTCTCGTTATGGGAGTCTGTGAGGTCGGGAGAGCAGTGTGAATTGGACTGTACGTATTGTACGTAATTCGAAATCTTAAAGAAGCTTTTACGTAACGACTCAGAGGTGTGAATTGAGCTTGTAGGTATTTATTCCAGGCTATAGGAAGTTGCAGTAATGTAAGAGGGCACTTTGAATTGATAGTATTAAAATATTTTGGTAGCAAGAAGTCTTCTGAATTGGTGCGCGTTGTGGTTGTCGAAGATTAAAAACTTTGTCAGGAAATGAGAACGAAGTTTTTAAATAGAGAAGACCTTGGAATCACTTACAGCTTATCATTTTTATCTCTCAGTGAATAAGCGAGCGTATCAGAGAGACATTCCGACCGAAGATGCCAGCAAATTGAATACCTTTCAATTCGCACTACAGTGAATGACACGATCGCTGAGAACGATCGCCGACATACCGATAGTTATCAAGGATACATGTCGATCATGGTGAATATGATAAGTTGGGGAAAAAAGCAATAGTCTGATAATAGATACGATCAATCCGTTCGAGGCTCATGGCTTGTGGATGCTTGTTGAAGTTGCGTTCTGCTTGTTGATGACTTGGAAAATATGCAAGGAATGACCAAGCCGATGGGTCTTGCGTCTCTGACTTAAGACGCGAGGGCCAAGATGATTTGCCATATGAGGGAGCCTTTGAACTCCATCGACTGCTTACAAAATTCCTAGTCTGATGTGGCAACGCTGAAACTGACTCCAAGTGTTATAGGTCAAGCGTTCACGATGTATAATGGAAATCCAAGAAGCGCGTAAGTCTCTTGACCGAACGACAAAACGCCTCAAAGCATACCAGCAGGTGGCGAACATCCAAACCTCGACGCCAAAACCCTGAATACAAGAAGTTTCGGAGGTCCAACTCTCCATATGAATGCAGCTTGACGTTTTGTTGTTCTTTCAACTGCCTGAATGAAAGATTGAGTTAGATAAGTAAGCATGGACCTTGGGACATGCCTTAGAATAAGCTGCATACCAAAACTACACTAATATATTCATAGAGCTACTTTGCTAATGCACGAATTATCTCTCAATACGAATATGTGCCAAATAGTCGAGAGGCCCCTCGCTTTCGTGGTAAGTCTACGACCATATCCTATCTTGCAGAGCTTCACCGGCGTCAAAAACGATATTGATAACATCAACAAACAAACCCTGGCACATATCCGAACCTTTGGGCTCTCCAAGAGACTCTTGATTCTACAGATATTGCCAGCGAGCTTCCGTCAGAAAGTCATTTGGTGTGCTCCAATTCAAGCCGTCATCCGTCTTTTCACAAGAGCTGGACCTGACCTCAAAGCTTGAACAGCAGAAAATGATACTATACTGAGCATCTGCCGGTGAACTCTCGAGAAAGGATCGAAAGATCCTGATATGGGTTGGATGTGGTCTGTTTAAGCCAAACGATGGTTCTATAGCCACCCGTCACCGACGACGAACCTTTTCGCAGAGTGACGACTCTGAAACTAGAACATCAGTAGAAGACATTTTATATATGTAGCATAACAAATGGCGTCCAAGAAGAAAAGGCTTCGAAATTGAGAGCCATCTGAACCACGTCATACATCCACTGAACATCGACAACTCGCCGGACGGTTCATATCCTCGAAACAGAACGTAGGGCAAGCATTCTTAATATATCGATCCTCTAGTCAATACATCCAGATTTAAGACGCAGACTGGCCAGGAACAGAACTGTCGCCAAACATCGGCCTGACCCTAGTATGTACCACTCTCCTTGGAGAATACGGAGCAATTAAGAGGAAGTAAGCTGTGCAGACTAGTTGACGTAGTCACACACACCGACCTAAAACTTTAACCTCCAGTGGAGCTGTCGTCTTGGTTGACGGAAATTTCACGAGATCATTTGATGATTATTCAGGCTAAACTGAGATACTGTACTCGAAAGGTTGAAATTTCAACGTTCTCAAATACCAGAATGTATATCAAGGACCATCTTTTCTCTGTGAAAGTCTGTTTGTTCCTGGCTTGAAAACATGGTTTCAAACACTGCATGACAGAACTAGACACTTGTCTATTGCCACAACTTGAATGTGCAATGAGACTTGAATTGAGGAATAGTTTTGGTAGCATTCCAGAGGGTTTACTTTGATTTACTTTTACAGAAATATTTTGGATGGTTCAAGCTCGGAACACGGCTTTTCCTCGGAAGTGATGGACTGTGATGGCTCCAGCGTCTTTCATCACCACACCTATTCGTAGGAGAAAAAAACAGGCGGAATTTGACAATTCAAATTTTCATTGAAATCCTTTAATTTAATTGAATAAAAAATAATTTACAAATGATTTATATAAATCCAAGGAGATCAAAAGAAATATCAGCTTTTTATTATTCAAAGGATATTTCAAAATTTTATTTTATATAATATTGAAGGGAAATAATTGAATTGTAAAGGATATCTTAGAAATGGTCGAATACCGCCTGTTTTTTCTCCTGCGAATAGCACACCACTTCATTAACTGAAGGACAAGTGAAATTCTAAGACCAAGCTTACATTCGACGGATAGCAATATATGGAGATGGCAGTGGTTCACTGTAAGCTCAGAGACTCTGTTGACTACAAGTTCTTTGCTCAACAAAAAGCTCTAGCATTCTAGACTGCTAGTAAAGGAGACCACAGAGGTCTTAAGCCACAAAAAGATGGCTGAATGATGAATGAGCTGTGGCCAAACGTATCAAATGATATAGCAATTAATATGAGATGTCTGAATAGGAGATCTTGATGGATGTGTTGGAGCATTACTACTTGTGATTGAGCTTGAATGTTCTGTCTCACAGTTTTCAATGGGTTTTTTAGTCTTTTCCATGTTTTTCTTGCTCATTTTATACCCATCTTATCACGATCAAAAACCACAGTGAGACTCTTCTAGCTTCTTCTTGACGAGATGACCTACCTGTAAGCGCATTTTGGCGTTTGCTTTCGGTTGAACCTCGGATATATGTGATAGACATCCTCAACTTTCATAATCTTCTGGTGAAACTTACTTATTATTATCTTTCCCTTCCCCCCCAATTTATTGCATCACACATTACTCCCTCGCACATTCGAACAATGGCCTGGCCATATCCTTGAAATATTTATTCATGTAGCTCATGGAAGTTACAAGAACAAAATTCACGTTCGGACGAAATTCCTAATACACAACAACTACAGGGTGGCGGATACAGATCGCAAACCTAACAATACTTCCTCCGCAAAACGCACAGGTGCTGGTAAATTCGACAGAAAAGCAACACTAAGGAGTGCAGGTTTCCTGTTCACAATAAACAATAAGAAATATGGCTACGAGCACCGATGCTGCCCCTATAGAAGTGGCAGAGTGTATACAGGTCGATGGAGCGGAACACAAGATAGTCAATATTGGAACTGGCGGAGATGTCATCCTCGAAGTTCTCTTTGAAAATACGAAAGCTTGCACAAAGTCGATACCGAACGAGACGATTCAAAAGCTACGCAACTCAAAATCGTCGTTCCCTTCAGCACGAGTATTCTACCGTGTCCGCCTTGATACTTTGAAGAAACACTCAAAATATTTCGAACGCCTTCTTGGCTCAGATACATTTGGAGAAGGTAGGGCTATATCCGCCAGGTTTGCAGAGTTGTCCCTTTCGAGCAAAGACCCCTCAGAGCTACCAGCAGGAGAACTCCCTCGAATTCAAATAACAGATGAAGACGATGCAACGAGAACTATCGGGAGGGAGACAGTTTTCAAGGATATGCTCAAGATCATTCATGGCACAGCACATTCTAGCAAGTCTATAACTCTTCTCTACATTTCAATTTTGGTAGTTATGGCAGATAGGTATGATTGCATGACTTTGATCGCGCGATACGTCGCAGGGAAATTCTCGAGCTTCAAATATCCGCCAACTCTCGACAAAACCACGGAAGAAGTTGTGCGACAGAAGATACTGATATTCTACCATACGAATCAAGCATTGCGCTTGTCCGCAGCGACGAAGGAGCTCATTCTTCGCGGCTCATCTCGTTGGTCAATCTATGAAGAAACAGATTCTGACTTTCTAGCGGCTTGGTGGGATCTGCCAGAAGGTCTAGAAGGTGATTGATAGGTCACAATTTACCAATTGCAATATAGCTAATCCTTTGCAGATGAGCTTTCATATCGTCGATCACGGATAATTTTGACGATATCTTCTCTCCAAACACATTTTCTTTCCCTGTATACATCTCGAACACGACAATGTAAATTAGGCTATGATTCGTCAGCCGCCTGCGATTCCTTCCAGCTCGGTGAAATGGTGAAGTTCATGACGAGAAGAAACCTTCTCTCGCTCATGCCATATCAAGCAGTCTCTCCTGACGACCCTGAATTTATTTGGCCCGAAGCATACACTGGTGATATCGAGCTGCTTGTTGCATTATTGCGAGAATGCCCAAGTTATCAAATTGACAAGAATCATGGGCATTGTGGTTTACGTAATAAAATACTTCCTGCTCTGAGCTACATCAAAGATTGTATTGATGGTGGCATTGGCATTAAGTCCCAATTCTGGAAAACAGAAAGATCAAATCAAACCTGGATCCCTAGCCCGTCGACAAATAATAGCAACAAGAAAGCATTTGTTGTAGGAGGCAAAGCAGTAGGAGACGACATGGCAGAAAAGTTTTTCGATTTTAAAAGCTTGAATAGAGCGGACCTTACGTCTGGCGGAAGATCACTTGGTGTAGACAAAGCAGCGAGAAGATTGTTTCTAGCTGACAAGTGGGATTGGATAAGGGAAGTAGAAACGGAACAAGAGAAAGAGAGGATGTCAAAGTCTTCGTTTTTTAGATTCTGAAGATCTAGGCGTAATTACGACTAACACCCATACATAGAGAGTATCGGTTCGAGATAATGTATTAAAAACGTATTCCGAATACCAAATGAGTTATATCATACGGCCAACCTTGTGGACACAATGCCAATATCTGGGGTAGTCTCCATTCAAACCCCCAAGAAGGTTAAAATTATTTAGATACTAGTGCAAAAGCCTACCGCGAACGCCCATTTTGAAACACCCTTTCCGTTTCACTAAAAGGCATGGCAGTAATGAATTGATCAATTGAAAAGGAGAACCTTGGAGTATTCTAGCCATAAGAGAATAGATTAATTGGATAATACTAATCTCACGAAAAACAAGCTTTTTGACATCCATGCTACTTGAAGGATCTTAACCGAGTCCCCTCACTTCCCAAAGGATCTTTTGCCGCTGCCTTCTTTGCCCTTTGTAACTTGAGAGATTATCAGTACGCTCCGGAATAATAGGTCTCATCGTGATGGCCCTGTATGAACATGGAATAATTCGAGGGGTTTTCTCCGCGTGGGGACTATGAATTGAATGGAATGACCGAACTATCGATATTAAGAGTGGTAAATCAAAAGATTCCTATGCTTTTCTTTGGGACAGGTAGATGTTTGCAAGGTATCACAAACAAACATACAAGAGTCCATATAGAAGGTTTCATGTATAAACGTTCGGATATTAAATCCGAATATTTTCCCACTTTACCCTTTAGCGATAAAACGTTGACTGCGATTCGATAATTACCCCTAGGGTCCCCTGTTTAAAACAAAACACATCAGATCACAAATTAAACGACCTTGGTGACAGTTATTCAGTGATTCGCGTCATAATCACATAGTGTTCATCTGTTTACAGAATTTGAGCGAAACGCTGAGTCCCGAAAGAGAAAAGTGTCATGAAATTAAAGTACAGAGAGGTCCGGAAGCGTTGTTTACCATTAGGATAAGTTGTCAACTCTAAATGAGAGGGGGAATGAGGTTAATTAATCGATGAAGTGGAGCATCGTGAGATATCATCTCTTTGACTTTCTGAATAAATACTTCCTCCTCCCGATTGAAGCTTCCATTTTTCTTACTCTTCCTTACCACTCTCACTACAGTCATTCATTCATTCATTTTTTCAGTCACTCTCTTTTTCAATTCTACGCTATGCGTTTCACAAACTTTGTTTTGGCAGCTGGCCTTACAGCAACCGCATTCGCAGCTCCGGTAGCTGTTAGAGATGAGGATGATAGCTGTGTTGCCGATTACGACGATGAGACCAGTTCCGCCGCCGTTGTAGCTCAAACCACCCTTCCTTCTTCCTCCGCCGCTGTCGTTGCCGCCACTTCAGTTGCACCATCAAGCACTGCCGTCATGACCTCTGCCGCCGTCGTTGCTTCATCAGCCGCTAGTCCGGTTGTTGCTAGTTCTTCCGCCGTTTCGTCCGCTGCTGCAGTGGCTGCCTCTTCCTCCCCAGCTGCCGCTTCCCCAAGCAAGGCTGCATCCGTCGCTGCCGCATCCAGCAGCACAACTGCCGGCAAGTTGCAATGGATCGGTGCCAGCGAGTCTGGAGCCGAGTTCGGTCAAACCAACCTCCCAGGTGTTGTTGAGAAAGATTACACTTTCCCAAACACCACCGCCATTCAGACTTTGATCGATGGTGGCATGAACATTTTCCGTGTTCCATTCCTTTTGGAGCGTATGGCCCAAAGCAGCATCACCGCTGACCTCGACGCCACTTACCTTGCTAGCTACAAGGAGGTCATCGATTACATTACCGCCGCTGGTGCAAGCGCAGTTATGGAAGCTCACAACTATGGACGTTATGACTCAGCCATTATCACCTCCACCTCCGACTTCGGTGGCTTCTGGGGCAAGCTCGCTACCAAGTTCGCCGACAACTCCAAGGTCATCTTCGACTGCAACAACGAGTTCCACGATGAGCCTACCGCTACCATCTATGCCGAGCTCAACCAAGCTTGTGTTACCGCCATCCGTGGCGCTGGTGCAAAATCCCAATACATCTTTGTTGAGGGTAAGTCATTCTCCAAACTTCTCTTAATATCTGGAAACTTTTAACACTAACATGTTAATCAGGAACTTCTTACACTGGTGCCTGGACCTGGGTTTCATCTGGAAACTCCGTTTCCATGTTGAACATCACCGATCCTGAAGACAAGCTTGTCTACGAATTCCATCAATACCTCGACTCTGATGGATCCGGAACCTCTGCCACCTGTGTTAGCAGCACCATTGGTGCTGAGCGTATTGCCGATGCTACCGCATGGCTCAAGACCAACAACCTCAAGGGTGTCATTGGAGAATTTGCTGGTGGTGTCAACGCTGACTGTGAATCTGCTATCTCTGGTATGTTGGATGCTTTGGCTGCCGACAACGAGCACTGGTTGGGTGCTTTGTGGTGGGGTGCTGGCCCATGGTGGGGTGATTACATCTACGCTTTCGAGCCACCTACCGGTGCTGCTTACGCCCAATACTTCGACACTCTTGTCAGCTATGTCGCATAAGCGTATGTAGATAAGATGTATGATTAGGGTTGAAAGAAAAAGTTATGGCTTAGGAAGTGGTTTCTGATTCGTATTGTATATATGTATTAGCATGGTCCCTTGTGGAGTTGTTTGCTTAAAGGAGGTGTTTTAGTGGAAGACAAAAGGGGGCGGAATTAAATCTCAATCCGTTTCCAACTTTGAATATTTTGATCCAACTTCGTGATGCCATGTATTGGTGCAACCAAGTTTTTCATCATGATTGCTGCTGTGATATGACCAAACGACAAGCAGAACACCGTTTATTTAAAGTTTGTAATCTCATGTGGCATTGTGGCCTGAGAGAAGCACAAGTGCCACCCTTAAATTATGGGAATTGGCCTTCTACAACCACATGCGTTTGCCATGATACCTCACGTGGCATGATCATATGATGTTCGACTTGGCATTTAATCAAAGAGTAGAACACCATACATACAATCCGATTTAATAACCCCTTCACCCATAACTAGACGTGATTTTTGTGCCTCACACTTCGTAGGAGAAAAAACGGGCGGCAATTGACCACTGGCAAAGCCCTTTAACAATCCAATTGTTCCATTCCAATTCAGAGAATCAAATGTTCTAATAAGTACCTAGGTAGAGCCTCATTAGTTTCAGTCGAATCGAAATTTCGGAATCCAATCACTATTTATTCAATCAAAATAGCTTCAAATTGGAGGATTTCCAGATAAAATTCAAGTAAAAGTGCGTAGAACTAAAAAAAAAGGTCACATTCTGGAATTACGTTATCATTTTGAGTGTATAAAATAGAGTTCGCACTTCATTTTGCTGCAGCTGTTCTTTCCCTGCCAATCAGATTTCTCAATCAGACTGGTGGCCCACTTTTCCTTTTGCTTTGAACGACATCAACTTTTCACACCCTAAGACATGGTCAAGCTACTCATCAAACCGCTATGGTGTTGGTACAATAATTAGTTAAAGCATCTAGCTATTCTCAGAAGTTTTTCATTCATCCATGTAAATTACATCGTAGTCACTCACGAGCCAAGCCTAGGTGTTTTCTGAGCATTTTTGCGGGAAAGGAGCGACCACGCGATTCTGCAGATGGAAGTCAATTTTCATTCCTCAGATCTAGCTCGCTGTCCGTTTACTTCATTGAGGCTCGTGGCACTTGATGCTATTCACGAACTGTTTACAGGAGCAGTCAGGCCCTGAATACGGCGTGAAGCTTATAGAGACAGATTTTTAATCTATGGTTTAAATTTTTGATTGGACCCAGAGCTGGCATCTTACTCATGTGCCATTCACATGTTCTTCATGCTCGCTTTCGAGAGTAGTCATCTAGAATTTCGTAGTGTTGAACCACAAGTGCTGGTTTTCAAGCCAGTTGTGCCTCTCTGTATTCTTTGCAGCTTTTTGTAGTATGTGATTTACTGCAGCGCGAGCGACCACGTAGAAAGAATCTGCTTCCATCGTTGCTTTTTTTTTTTTTTTTTGCTTTAAACACGTTTAATCCATACAATCTTTACAATCTGAATATTCTTTTATTGTTCGATTGAACTTTCCTGCATGATGCAGAGGTCTATATACTGACGAGTAAACTGCCCCAGTGTAATAAAACTAGATACTGGGGAGTTGCAGCCAAAACAATTCTACATATTCAATAACTATGCATTGTTCTTGGTGGTGCATGATCACTCGCTCACAAACCACACTTTTCACTAGTGCCGTAAGGTACCGCCATTTGGTTGAGACTAATGACATGCATGATACAACCCTTTCAAATGTTACGGTTGGCTGACTGATCTTTAATTTTCTGACATCTTCTATGCGTGCAGTCAGTATTGTATAGTATGAGTCTAAACATCTTAGCCTTCCCTGTTAGATCAATATGACGTCAAATTCAAGCTGACTACATCATTCTTACAGCACGTTACTCCTTTCTCTTGCTACTTAATGATAGAACTCATCTAGTAACAGTACCACTCAGCAATACTTTTCTACAAGAGACGCATTTCTACCTACTATTACCTCTCATAATTCACTAACTCCCCCCATCTTTCTCTCGAGATATCCATCCAAAAGCAAACAAGCAACACTTTTTTTTCACTGCAAAAATGCTGAACACTATGTCTGGCGGTTTCATTGTGCAAGCGGTCCACCGTACCCTTCAAGCTCGTCGTGTGGAAATACAACTGGCGAAACTCGCTCTCCAAGAGGAAAATGATTGGGAGATTGCAGCAATTCCCGACCATCCATGGCTCAAATTTAATGGCAGTGATAAGATGTTAGACATTTTACTTGACTTTGCTGGTTTGAATTCTCCATTCAGCATAATAAGCTCACCAAGACTCTAATCAAGATTCTTCCGAAATACTCGACCCATGCAACCAATATCCATATCGATATTGCGTTTGGAATCCCCCACATGGATGTCATCAACAACAACACCAAAGCTGCTCGCCATTGGGCCATGGCTAACGTCGTCTATGAGCTTAACAAGTTCCGCCAACTTGACTCGGTTCGAGTCTCAATGTCTGTACAAAGAGTTTACTGGGAACAGGTGAAGCCCGTCAGTGCCATCTATGGATTGGACCATCCCCACTGGACTTTCGCCATTGTCGAGAATGGTGCGGAGAACGCAGTTGAGATTGGTTCTGACGTTGATTGTAAATTAAGCTCTCATTTCAATGATGAGATGTGCTGGTGATGGAAGATGGGGGTTTTAGGCGAATCTATTCCATAGGCTACGGATCTTTCGGGGTGAAGGATGCATCTACCCACACCTTACCATTGGCCTTTGCGATGATCATTGCAGGTTAGGCGATGATGCGAAATTGGGTGGCAGCGTCAAGTATTACTATAGTATATAATTTCTGGGGCTGGCCCATGAACCGTTTCTTGTATGATAATACTCGATTTCAATCACTCGGCTAATAGCTACTGCATAAGAAAGAAAAAAAACTCCAATTCCCCTATTTTCTGTCAACTTCTGATTGTTTGTATTACTTTGATCTGCTCCAAAAAGTTTGATCTAATTCATGTTTATTAAACTTTCTAGACCGCAAGGCCATGGCATTTTATATAATTACTGCGTCCAAACTTCGCAGTATCCATTCCATGAATTGAAATTTGGTATCCTCTTTTTAAAGCAAGAAAGAGAATATTAGCCTGATTAGAGGCATTTTGATTCTATGTACAGATAAGGGCACTAATTCTCTAGTAAAGTGATTGACATTCCCAATTGGTTGCAACACTTGTTGTTTCCAGTACCCACGTACTTTACCTGTGAGGGTACATACAGATTGGTCGTTGATTGGTGACGTAATCCAATGTAGCTTCATCATTCCATTTAGTTGCAATGACTTGAGTTGGTGCGGTATCGTTTTCGACCCAGTCGATCAAGGCAAGCAATACATCATGTTGAGCATTGTCAAAACCAGGCTTACTATGGATCCAATAACCAGCGGAATCATCGCCAATGACCGATGCTTGGGTAGTGCCTCCAATGTACCAAGGTACGTTCTGGGTAGAAGGAGTTCCACTGCAATGCCTATTTTGAAATTATTAGATACTCTGTGCTAACATTTCGACAATTTGATTGTTGAGATTTACTCACTCCATTCCTGGGGCCAAGAAAAATCGATAGAAGTCATCTAGATCAACGCCTTGCGATTTTAAAGTGCGCAACACATGTTCGTAAAAGTATACACTGCTGGCGGTCGCAATGGAATTATCTGCCATACCATGGTAATGCATAATCTTGCTACCCTTCTTATAGAAGGGAGAAAGATCGAAATTGTCAGCAGTAGCATTGCCAGGGTTGAGAGCTTCAGACAATGTGACAAGGTATTCGGGATCCCAATCATCAGCAGTGAAATTGGTTCCTAAGCCAAGGAAATATTGTGGGTAGTCGAGATCGGGTGACGAACCGCCTCCCCAGAGACCTTCGCTACCGATCTCAAAGTGAGGGAAGACGAATGTCTGGTTACCAATCACCCAGTCATTGTAATAGTGATACAGAGTGTCGAGCTGAGCTGGAGTTAGACAGTCGGTAGTAGAATTTCCAGCACAGAGTAAGGTTTCGATCCGCAAATGACAACCACGAGGGTCAGAAATAATGTTGTCAGTAACGCCATCTTGAGGATCGCATTGTTTAAGACTCTCAGCGGCGATAACTGAAAACATTCGGTTTGGGATGTAGCCAGGTGCAGTTGATGGATAATTGTAAAGCGCTGTTTGAACATTCCACGGTTGTAGATGGACAGTCCACCAAGCAGGGGCACCGACTACTGCACCATCAAAGTCGTCTGGGAACTCCTCGACTTCCTTTAATCCTTGTCGTCCTCCGGTGGAGCAGCCATTGTAGTAACTGTAAGTGATATTTTTGCCATAGTATGCTTCAACTACCTCCTTGGCAGCGACAACAGACAGATGCATGGCACGCCAAGCCTAATCTGTTACGGATTCAGGGTCAACGGCCCAAGAAGCGTTACCAAATACACTTGAATCATGTCCAGTATCAGTCGACATGGCGGCAAAACCATAAGAGGCACCAGCACCCTATATTCCTTGTCATTAGCATCTGATAAACAGAACGCATATAGTGATATTCGAATGGTAATGAGATCCAAGTAGTAATCATACCATTTCAAGATAATTGACACCTCCAGCAAACCCAGGATTTCCAGAAGTCCTTGAACAAATCAGCATACGATTTTGTGAAGTACATTTTGTCCACAATTATATACATACAAGAAGCGACCTGTCCAGTTCTTGGGAAGGAAGAGACCATAATTGAAAGTAGTGCCTGCCTCCGTGGACATCTCAATCTGCACGGCGCAGAGAGCAGGTAGTCGTGCCGGGTTGGTTGGAATCCAGTGTCGGCAATTGGCACGGTGAACGTGGCATTTTGAGATACTTCCTGGACCAAAAACTACTGTAGCAGTGGGTGGAACAATCGCCTCAAAAGCTGCCACAGAACACTTTGGAGTCAGAGCATGTGACAGTGTCGCCAATGCGGCGAGGGACAGTAATAGAAGTTTAGCCATTGCAGATGAATGTTCAAACTTCTTCGATTTGAACAATACAATTTTAAAGTGTTGATTATCTCTGCTACCCTTTATATATTAAGGTTACGATACGTCTTCACCCCCATTTTATCACAGACCATCGAAAAGGTCAAGAATTGGAGTAATCTCCGAGAAGGACTTTGAAAACCCCTTGTGGTAGCGGCGACGCGTAATAGAGAACATCATTCTCTCTGTCTGTTTTGTAGCAGGCCCAATTAAGGTCTTGTCAGGAACATTTGGTCGAATGGACTGTCCCTTTGCTATTTAGCCAATAACCTGGCGAAGATCGTTTTCAGAGTCCATATATTTACATTGATACTTCTTCAAGATAAATTAGCAGCTTACAAGTCTACAAGGCAAAGGAAGCCACTACCCCACGACCGATTATATCATCAGTTAAGTGCCGATATCCAAAATATATCGGCGATTATCATATGCGCCGAACTTATAAATGTGGGACTGGCTATTACGACGACTGGTCATTTTTGCCCCGGTATTATTTGGACATGTACTACAGAGATCCTAACTTCATGCAATCATGCATATTCAGGTACGAACATGAATCTAAAGCCTAAGATGAAAACTATGAGTATTAAATGTACATCTCCTGGGATGCGAAGACTCAACACCTGTACGCGGTGCATCCTACGAACCTCCAGCTCTCTCTTGAGAGTCTGCAGAGCTAAGATTGAGTCGCAGATGGAATGGAAGAATTGAAAGGAGAGAGGTTCAGAGATATAGCGAAGGATTATATTACAATTTTACAACAGCAATACCTACGAAAAGTTGAATACCAGCTTTAAACACAAATACAAAGATTACGGAAGCCCTAGTTAAATTCAACATCTACCATCGATTACTATTTCGAATATAGAAATATAATACGCAGTAAATCTCTTCTTTTAAAAAAATCTTTTCAATATAAGCTTACCGCCGCTCTGATTGATTGATTGATTGATTGATTGAATTTACGTCCACCTTCAGTCTAAGACTATATAGGACAGCTAGGCCCGATGGGCCTAACAGGTAACTTTTTGATTTATAATATTGATTATAATCTTATTAAAGAAATGAAAACAAATATTGGGAACAATGCCCGCTCATTATATGTATTGCATATAATAAGAAAATTCTAACAATCAAGAAATTATAAGGAGGTTAAGCTCTCCTCTTATTTTCTTAACTACTTCTTTTTTATTCTCTTTTTCTTTCTCCTTTTTTACTATTACTTCTTCCTCTATTATTTCTTATTCAAAAATCCTTACTAGATGTTATGCTCTTATAGTGATTTTAATAATATTAATAAATTTGATAACTAATTCGATATCTATTTTGGTATATAATAAGAATTATATAATGATTTTCGATAATAATATATTCTAGAATATCTTTTTTCTTTTTGTTTATATATAGAACAGCTAATTAGGAGGTGTTGTAGTATTTTAATATTATTATATATATATTTATTATTGGAGTGATTGAATCGATATAGATATGATTTGATATATTCGTAATCTAATTTCAATTGGAAAAGTATATTAGTAGTATTTCGATTGGTTCCAATTGGTAGCTTAATTTTCGATCCGATTTTCTATAGAAATAGCTTTGAATAGATTAATATCAATTGATTGGATTTGAGTTTATATTGATTGAAAGTTGAATTCTATTAATCAAGAGAGGATTCTTTGATTATTATTTCTAGCAATCTAAAACTGGTTTTATTCGAAGTGAATTGTATTGTAGTAGCCTCTTTTGCTAGCTTATTTGCTAGCTCGTTCCCTTTAACTGATATGTGCCCTGATATCCAATTCAAGGATATTTCAGATCCTTTAGTTATAATAGCTTTAGCTACCTTGATTACTCAAATTTGGTATACTTGCTTTGGGTAATCTAAGGATATTTTCAATCAAAGAAGGCCTGCTTGATTATTTAAATAAATCTTAAACTTTTTTCTATTACTAGTGATTGAGCTAGTATATTTGATGGCTTGAGTGACTTCATATAGCTCTCCATTATAAACTAATTGATTGCTTCTAATATTGACTTATTCTTGATATGAAATCTGATCATTCAATTGTATTGATATTATCTCTATATTAATACCTATTTTCTTTTTAGTAGAAAAGGTATTTATATAAATGTAAATAGTATTTTGATCTTTATGTTTAAGAATAATATTATGGAGTATTATTGCATTTTCTTTTAAAGCTTGATTAATATTAATTTTGAAAGGGATTTCCTTTTTCTATAAAGGGAAATGAAAATAGATAATCTTTTAAAAAAGAATAAATCAAATTTTTTATCAATTGATTCTCTAATTCTATCGAGTTGAATTGACTTATATAGCTTTCTTTAAGGAGTATTGATTGCTTTCCGATTAGTGTATTGATATATTAAAATAGCTTTTTCGATATTGATTGAATATTTAGATAAGAGTTTTGTTAATCGAAAAGTATATTATTTGATATTTGAATCTAATCAGATATTTACTGATTTTAATCCCGATTCGATTTCCATTAAAAGAATTAAAGCAGTTTTGAAAACTCCTAATATCTTTCAAAAAGCTAGGTTTTGAAAAGCTTGCATTTTATCCTTGAAATAGACTTATCCTCTCCACCAAATCACTGATCCGTAATCAGCTATACTAGTCACACAAGCTATATATAATTATCGAAAAGCTTTAGGACTCAGGCCTTTTTCGATATTTACTAGCCAAATTATTCGATAAAAGGCTCCTTTTGCTTGTGTGATTCGGATATTGATATATTGATTGAATTTGAGATTTAGATCGAACCATATATCTAACCATCTAATTAAAGATTGAGGTTTAATAATATCCGAATTGGGTAATATGATTGGAAAGTTTTTGGTTAGCTTGAATGCTGAGAAGTACATTAATTCTGTCTTTATTAAATCGAATTGAATTACATTTTTCGAGCTGAGTTTATAGATTTGCTTTATAGCTTTCTCAAGAAATCTAATATTCTTTTTTTATAAGGATGAGTTTGTAATTAAAGTAATGTTATTAATATAGAAAAGAAATTTAATCGATTTTGAAAAGAATAATTCTCTAATATATATTAGGAAAAGGATTGAAGAAATTGAACTGCCTTGTAGTATTCTGATTGAAATAGGTTTGAAGAATTCGATTTGATTATTGAAAGAAAGTTTTAACTGTTTTTGTTATAGAAAAAAGGCTATCCAGAAGATGAGATTCGTTGGTAATTTCAATTTCTTACAAATATCTAGTAATCGATTTTTTGAAATATGATTGAAGGCTTCTTTTATATCTATAAATAGAACTGAGGTCTTTTTGTGGATTTGCTTATTTCTTTTGATTTCAGTAATTAGAAAAAGGGCTGTATTAATTACTGATTTCTTTTGTTGGTTTTTAATTTGATTTTTGTATAATAGATTAATAGTTTCTATTAAATAGTCTAATCTTTAAGCTAAAATCCTTTCACTAATTTTTTCAAGATAGTTTAGAAATGTAATAACTCTATATGCTTTTGAGGCTGAGTAATCGGGTTTTGAAGGTTTCTTTAGAATCGCTTCAATGGCTTGTTTTCAGTATTATGAGTGATATTCTAAATTGATTAGATTGCTGAATAGATTGAAAAAGATCCGTGGAATTGCTTTGTATGTTTTTATAATAATCTTCTGAGTAATTCTATCTAGATTAGGGGTTTTTTCTTGGATTTTGACTAAGCAAGTATTACTTAATTCGATTTGTGAAAAACTAGGCCATTTTCATTTCTTGGATTGTTTATATCCTTCCCATTATGGTTTTGAAGTAATAGAAAGAAGTGGGAATAGAATTGATCTAAAAGCAAAGCATTTTCCTTCAAAAAAGCTTTTTATTGAAATATCTGATATTCTTTAGTTTTGATAATCCTTTGTATAAACTATTACTTTGAATATTGTTTGTATATTCTCTTTTTCTAGGAATTCATTTTAATAATTCTTTTTAGTTATTTTAATAATCTGAAAATACTTGTTTCTAGCAATTCGATATTCTTCTTTAAAGTTTGAGTTTTTTAAATCCAATTCAATTGATTGTTTTATTCTTTCTAACTCTTTTCGAAGATCTATTAATTCGGGGATCCATTATAACTTTACTCTTCTAATCGACAAAGCTTTAGGTATAGAATTTTCAATAGCTTTTTGGATAATCCTTATAAGTTTGCTTACTGCTTAATCTAGATTAGAATAATTATTTCTTTCTTTCAAATCGTTTAGCGAATCCTCTTTAGATAAGATTATTGATATTAGAATAGAGAGAATAGGGGAATATAATGATTCTGATTTCAATATCGATTCGAATTTATCTTAATTAGCTAGTTTTGTATTGTATTTAGCTAGCGATATTATATTAAGGAGACTTGCTTCTTTTCCCTTTAGCTTGAATAATATTTCTGTATGATCGGATTCTGTATCTGAAAGTGTTTGTTAGTTTTGGATTTGAGAGGCGATTTCTTTTAAGGTTAATATAAGGTTAATGTTACGTAAGCGGACACAATAGGAGTTGTAAGCTTTACCACTACGCCACACACGCAATCTGTCCAAAAGGCACAGTATCAGGGATTGTTTCCTGATAGCTTACTACTATATATATATCCATATAACAGTTAATGATATTTGGATTGAGGAGATTGATATAATAAAAGATATTAAAACTAGGCTTGTTAAGAAGAGTAAGGTTCTGATCTTCAAATTATTTGGTTAATTGATTAGTGTTTTTACTTTTCTCTGAAAAAGGATTCTACTATGGGTAATGAGAATTGAAATCGTTTAGGAGAATGGTTTTTTATATAATTATTGAATTGTATAAGCATTTTTCAATTATAAAGTTCTTTTCTTTAGCTTAATTAGTTTTATTGTAAATATTAACTATTTGGAAGGTTTTATTTCTATTTCGATAATCGAAGATCTGAATATCAGGATTTCTTAGAGAATCGAAAAAAAGGTTGATTATAAAT